AGTTTTTCTGACCATCCTATAGAACTTAAGTTAGGAACTTAAGATGGGTGGGAGAGAATTTGGAAGGGCTCCCCAGCTCACCTTTCCCCCCCTTATTGGCGTGGCAATCCCCGCCCCCCCCCCAGATCAGCCCTTCTCCCCCATGTTGTTACTAGGATGAAAAAGAATCCTTGCAGCCAAGGGATCTGGAAGGAACAGAAGGTGGGGGAGAGCTCCCTCCCAGGGCTGAGTGCTTTGTGGCCTGGGGGCACTGAATTCTATGGAACATTAGCACTGGTAAGGGAGCAGGATGTCTCCCCTGGGCAGTGTCCACTGTGAGCTGAGATTCCATGGTCCTTGCACAGGTCCCTTGTGTGGGAAGGTGACTGGAGGGTGGATGTTCTGATGGCTTCATTGAAACAAATGGACTGTGGCAACCCTGTTAAACTTCTCCTGACTGTCAATGGGGAGGTAAGAAAGCAGTTCCTTACATATCCTGTTCTTCCTATTGTGGGTGCTGGTTATGGCCTGCAACACCCCCTGCTATTCCAGTGCTTGGTCTCCTCCCACAGATCTGCTAATGCACCTCAGGCCTGACCCAAAGCCCTGCTGTTCCAGGCCTATGTTCTATGCACAGGTCTACCAATGCACCTTTGACTTTTAAATGCCACAGGATACTAATAGGTAACGGATGTTTCAATTCCATTCTGCCCCCAGTTCTTGGTATCCAGGCAGTTGGTTGCCCATGTGTTGAAATCACTGGATCAAGTGCCCCTGAGATGGATCCTCTCTTTCTTGCTATTGACCTCCTTTGTAAAGTGCTTGGAGGTCTATGGATGAAAAGCTTTATAAAGCTAGGTATTATTATTGATAAGAGGCTGGAAAGTTCCTGATTGCAGCACTCCTGAATAAGGCTCCAATCCATGGGCTGAGTTCAGACTCCTTGTCTGTCTGTCCATCTGAGCATCCATGTAGCTTTCCACTCTCTTAGTCCTGCAGATTCTGAGGCCTCTGGCATTGCTGTCAAGGTTGGGAATGATGACCTAGGGATCTGGCATGTTCATATTTGCAACCTTTCAGAGCCAGCACCTGTATTGGTTCCAGGGTCTCACTGCTGGCTGACTCTGAGGATTCCTGCCTTCTTTCACTTCCCTGGGGCTGTTACATTGTTTGTAGCTATCACAGCACTGGGTGCTCTGCTTAATTCCCAGCAATAGCTCTGTGACGGTTCCCCCTAGACAATTGCCTAGCCCCACGGGAAAGAAAGAGAAGCAAAGAAGCTCCACGTGAATGAACATCCACTATAGTAAATACCTCTGGGGTGAGAAACGCCTTCATCACCACCAGTCCAAGTTCCAAAAACTGGCTAACTGCTAGATCTCAAAATGTGATTGTAAATTGGGAATCATTGTTGAGCAGCTGTGTTTCCAACGGGGTCCCACAGGACTCAGTGCTTGGCCCTACACTATTTAACATTGTTATCAACGACCTGGAAGAAAACATAAAATCGTCACTGATAGAGTTTGCAGATGACACAGAAACTGGGGGAGTGGTAAATAATGCAGAGGACAGGTCACTGTTTCAAAGCAATTTGGATCACTTGGGAAATTGGGTGCAAGCAAACACTGTGTTTTAATACAGCTAAATGGAAATGTATACATCTAGCAACAAAAAACACAGGCCATACTTACAAGATGGAAGACTCTAGCTTGGGAAGCAGCTACTCTGAAAAAGATTTTGGGGTCATGGTGGATAATCAGCTGAACATGAGCTCCCAGTGTGATGTTGTGTCAAAAGAACCAGTGCAATCGTGGGTTGCATAAATGAGGGAATCTCAGCTAGGAGAAGCAATTATTTTATCTCTGTATTTGGCACTGGTGCAGCCACTGCTGCAATACTGTGTCCAGTTCTGCTGTCCACAGTTCAAGCAGGATGGTGATACATTGGAGAAGGTTCCGCCACGAGAATGAGTAAAGGAGTAGAAAACGTGCATTATAGTGATAGACTCAAGGAACTCAATCTATTTAGCTAAACAAAGAGAAGGTTAAGGGGGTAACTTGATTACAGGCTATAAGTATCTGTGTGGGGAACAAACATTTAATAATGGGCTTTTCAATCTAGCAGAGAAAGGTATCGTACAATCCAATGGCTGGAAGTTTAACCTAGACAAATTCAGACCAGAAATAAGATGTACATTTTTGACTATCAGGGTAATTAACCTTTGGAACAATTTACCAAGGGTCATGTTGGATTCTCCATCACTGGCAATTTTAAAATCAAGACTGGAGGTTTTTCTAAAAGATCTGCTCTGGGAATTATTTTGGGGAAGTTTTATGGCCTGTGTTATACAGGAGGTCAGACTAGATGATCACAGTGGGCCTTTCTGGCCTAGGAATCTTTAAGAGCTGGACACTGGGCTCCTGGCCTGCAGTTGATCTCTCTCTTGTAATTTAGCTTTTTACTCACTCTGTGAGTGAGGGAGACTAAGACACTGGTGTGTATGAAACATGGGGGCAGGCTGAGAATGTTGTTCTTATGCTGCTCTGTGGTCCCTGTCTGTCCCTTAGCTGCTCAAGAGCATCTACAACAGCACCCCCACTCGTCCGTTTCTGGCACCGGAGCCCACCCAGTCACCAGTCCTCCCAGAAGATCCCATGTCCCCCATCCAGGTCTTGGATGATACCACTGAGGTATGTGCACGTTGGACACCTCAACTGTACCTTCCCACCCTCTCCCTTGCTCATAGCTACTCGAGGCCAGTGAGCTCTATTTGCAGGTGAAGCCATTGGCACACTCTCCTAGCAGGGCCCTGCTGAACAGGTTAGTGAAGCTAAGGTCTGGTCTGTGCTGGAAAGATCAATGAATTGCAGTGTTCTCACTTGAGTCAAATGCACCTAGTGTCTACAGGTAAATGCTTCAGCTTGTCACTGTGCTGCTCTCCCACCTTCCAATAATGCCCCCGTTCTTGCTCTGCCACTCTTCGGTTGGCAATCTGAAGATGGACTGCTGGCTGGGCATGCAGCAGGAGGAACAGCTGGTGGCTACATCAGCTTGGTTCCCTCTCTAAAATTAGCCTCCACCACAGTAGTGGGCTAACTGTGGGGGTCCTGGCTCACCTGTCCCTTTGTCATCTCCAGCCATGGATGAAGCTGATCTAAAGAGCCAAGTGAGATATAGAATGGGCTTACTTTTTCTCCCAGAAGCCATAGGCAGCCAATTCTGCTGTGACTTCTATTGGACAGGTTAAAGGTCAGAGTTTGGAGGTGACTGCCAGAGCACAAAGGACCAGAAGTAAGGATTTATCTCCACCGCCAAAAAAGCTGTTGATGCCCCTTGCCCCAGAGTCACCCACTGGCCAGAAGGCACCCAAGGAGGCCAGGAGGAAAATCCGCAAGCCTAGTCCTCTCCAGCTAAAGAAGCCTAGGAAAGTCTTGTTTGAGCCCAGGGCATGTGGAGGGGAGCAGGATGCTGAAGGTAACTTTGGTTCCGTAAATGCGGAGTGAGATGCAGACATTAGGATGATAGCTTTCAGGGTGTCTATTCTGGGTCTTGCCTGCTTGACTCCCAGACCTGTGCGTGCTGCCTCTAGGGACACTTGCCCAGTGTGTTCCTAACCCCAGCCAAGAGGGTCCCCTGTGTCCCTCTCAGAACCCTGAGAATCTCTCTCCAGTTCTGTCCTTGAACAAATGGCTTGAGTGTGCAACCTCTGCCTGTTTGGTCAGAAATGGAACTCGAGGTCTCCTGAATGCCACTGCACTGCACCGTGTAATAGTTCACTTAGCTCTTAATCTGTAGGTGTCAAAGCACTTGCAAATGAAGATAAATGTAATTATCCCCATTTATAGCTGAGGAAACTGAGGCACAGAGAGCATTACCCATTGTTATACAGTAGGTCAGTGACACAGCTGAGCTGAGATCGCCGGTATCATGATCTCTAGTCCTGTACCCTGTCCATTGGGCCAGCCAGTCTCCCTTACCAGTACTATATCTCTTGGTCCATATCGGACACGTCATTAATTGATGCCAAATGCAGAGCGTGCCAGGAGAGTATTTTTAAAAATGTTCTTGCATTGAACTCCCTTTGTATGTAACAGTCTGCAGGGAGTTGGCTGGCTCACAGGGACTGGGGAATTGGAAACGGAACCTTTCTCCTTTAGAGCATTGGTTCCAATTCAACCCCAGCTTGGGACCAAAAGCTGTAAGCCTTTGAAGGCTATTTATTGTACGAAATGAGTTGTTGGGTCTTAGTCCCATTCCTAGTGAAACAAGTATCCCCATCCCCAAACCACTGTCACAATGGTTCCCCTTGTTGGCAGTTTGAGCAGAGAAGGAGTCATGGAGCCTGATTTCCTGTCTCACCCTAGAGGGGTCCCCCCAGGGAGTGGGTGAAACACAGTGGCAGAGGGGGGCCCTGCTTTACTTGTACCTGTTCTGGGGATACAGATACCATCTATCTCCAGGGCTCTCTCGCACCTTTCACCAGCACTAATCTCACCTACTCTCCTATGCTGTTTGAGACCTAAGCCCCTGAACCTGGAGGTTTGTGCAGACAGGCGAAATGAGCTGGTGGTGACTCTTCACTCTCTGTGAGTCAGCCTGTCACCCTGATATGTGGCTGGATTGAAACCAGTGTGCTAGTTGTGAGAGGCACTGTATCCACTCCCATGGATCTCCATGTTCAGAAGAGTCATTTCCATGGCAGTGTGCCAGGGTAGGGAGAAGAGGCACTTGCACTGTATCACAGGATTGAGTAGCTTCTAGGAGGTGACTCCCCGCTGCTGCTTTCAGGGGACCATCATCTGTTTCTGTTTTCTCTCTGCAGACTTGGAGGTGAAGGAGCTGCAAGGTGAGAACCTGGTGCTCAGACCCTGGCCTGGCTTCTGAGCCACTTGGGGATATTGTTCCTTTAATGTTGTAGGCCTTGGAGTGAACATTCATGCTTGTCCCTTTAACTTCCTAAGCTTCAGGAACTGTGAGCAGGCTATGAGTACTCTGCCTGCCCTCATGGAGTTGCCCCCAAACTATACACCCTGGGCATTGTGAGAGGGACAGGAACTATCTCCAATGCCCCTTGCAGCCTCCCTGAAATCTGAGCTGCCCCACTGGGTACTTGACCAAAGGAGGTGGGTAAAATGATGCATAGACTTGACCAAACTTTTTCCAGCTTCCCCGCCAGTTAGTATGGGGGCCTGGTGGTGAGGGAAGAACCTTGGAAGGGAAAGGAGAAGGAAATGGAAGAAGGGAAGAAGCTTCCCTAAAGAACTAGCTGGAGGAAACCCTGGCCTCTCACCCCCCACATGCCCTAGGAGCTGGCAGTCCCCTAGTCACCAGACTCTCCCAATACCCTTAAACGTAGGAGAAAAGAACTGGACCTGTCCACAGCTGAGGCTCCTTTCCGGCATGGATGCTCAAAGGGATCAAAATGTCCCCCACCTGCTTGTCATGAAGTTCAGGGAGCATGATCCTGCAGCTAGCCAGACTCCCCACTGCTGACTTCCTGTGTTACTGAGAATGGGGCGGGGAAACCCCATGATTACTCCCTAAAGCCAACAAGAAAATCCCCATGCCCAAGGGGCCCTGGCCTCCAAATCACTTGGGTGTAGGTATGTAGTGCTTCTTGCCCTGCCATCTGTCCTTAGGGGTTCAGGGCCTCAGGCTTCCACCTTCCCATGAGAGTCCAGGCCCCTGCCTCCTCACTTTGCCTTCTCCATGGAAGAAAGGAGACCCTGAGGCCCCCATATCTGGTCCAGTGACACTGTTCGGTTTGGTCTCTCCTTCTCCAGTCTGTCCGAGCCCACGATGGTGTCACGCCATGTGCCTCAGTGACCCAGAAACAGCCATTTTGATTGGTGGAGAGGGAGCCAATCAACAGCCTTGCAAGGATGCTCTCTGGAAACTAGAGATTGGTGAGAAGTTTGGGGCTGGGCAGGGGAAGGCAGAGGTCCCTAGGGGTTGAAGGCATCTCTGGGCGAAGCAGGAGCTGAGGGCATTGAGTCTGCTCCGAGCCAGGCAGATGAAGCATTCCACCCATGCCAATGCCATTCTGTGCCGAACCCTCCGCAGGGAGGGCTGTATTATTTTGCATGAATAGGCTGAAAGCCACTGTCTCCTTCTGCTGGGATGAGAATGTGGGAGGGTGCCCCCGTGGCACCTCAGCTCACCCTGCTATGGGCAGCTATTTCTCCATTTTTCTCTCTTGCTCAGCTTCCTCCTTGTTCTCTGTTTTATCCTTTTTACATGTTCTTTGCTGACTCCTCCTCCTCCTCCCCACTCCTTTCTGGTAGCGCCATTTCCCCCTCTTCGTCCCTCCACTCAGCAGAAGGCTGCATGCTGCTGAGGCTGGGGGCCATCCATTGGTGCCACCCAATGCTGAGGCCAGTGCCATGGGCCGCAGCCTGAACCTGCAATCCTGCATGTGTGAGTTGCTCCTGCTGTTGGCTGTTAGGACTAGGAGCTTCAGTGGAAGCAGGGTGGGGGAAATGAGTGGCTTTCAAGGAGCAGAGGCTGCAGCACACTTTGCAGTGTCTGAGGGGTTTGTGGGGTGAACCCAGGGTCCTGCCGCTTTCCACACACACAGATCTTCTTTTCCGCCCAGCTATATGCTGCCCCCACGCCCTCCACCTCCAACCCCAGAAACAGTGCTGTAAGCCCTTCCCTCTGGCACTGAGTCAAGAGTGGGGAGGAATGAAGGGAGCAGGGTCCTGACCAAAGGCTGATAGAGGATAGGGCTTTTGAGGTGTGGGGAGTGAAGGGAGGGTCTCTGCCCCCTCACTAGTATGGCGTTACTCCGACAGACAATGATTTCTGGTTCCCCGTGGATTTGCCACCACTGGGTTCTGTGCCGCCCTGCTCACGTGGTCACACCGCCACCTACGACCTGGACACCAAACGCATCTATGTCTTTGGGGGCATGAAGGAGGGCAAGCCCTACAGCACCATCTACATCCTGGACACAGCCACCTGGAAGTGGCTTCACGTGGCTGTGAGTAGTGGAGCTTCTGCAGGAAAGAGACAAAGCATGGGGGGAGGGAAGGAGAGGAGAGGGGAAGGGAGGGGAGGGGGAGAAGTGTGTTTCTGTCAGGGACCAGCTGGGAACCCAAGAGCAATGTGCCTGTGTCCTTGCTCTTGTGCTCGCTCTTTGGCCCCTGGCCCAGTGTCAGGCACTGTGCGTTGGTTCCCATTTCATGGTCAGTGTAAGGGATGTGGTTAGGGTCATCGATAGGAGCCTTCAGGAGGGCAAAGGGGAAGTGGGCTGTTCTGGGTTCTAATCCCCCCCTTGCTTTGTCCCTTGGGGTGAGCCAAGTTAGACCCAGCCAGGAAAACTTGGTTAAAAAGCCTGAAGCTCACTGGAAACCAGATAGTGCATCCAGTGTGAGTGAGGCTGGAGGCAGAATGGATTGACACTAGATGCTGTATCTGAGCCAAGCTACATGGGAGAATAGCACACAAATTGCAGGGGAAATGGTCCCCCATTTGTGGGGGGCTAGTGGAAACCTGGTCTGGGCACCAAGATAATGATTTGGCTTTCTTGGTTCAGAGGCCCTCATCTTGTGCTTTCCCCCTTCCCTCTTTGTTTCCTGGAGAGAAACTTTCCCAGCTGGTGATCCCCTGCACCTTCCTTCCTTCCCTTTCTGGGCAGCACTAAAGCACAAGGAAAGCCAGAGGGCTGAGAGAGAATGGCATAGGTGGGATTAGCAGTGATTGGGGCGGAAGTGTTTCCAGAATGACCTCCTCTTCCTGTTTGTGTTCAGAACCAATTGGGATCAGTGGGGTGATGCCCCGTTCAGGTCAGAGAAAGGTGGGACATAAACTGAGCAGATATTGTCCACCCGCATCTTAGAGTTCTGGTCATGGAGCAGGTGGAGTGGCACCAGGACTCACTATGCCCATGGCCAGCAGGGAGCTGACCCATGCCAACCTGTGCGCTTCATTTTCACACATGAAACATGACTGGAAACTTTCTTCCTCAGGCCAAGGGGAAGGTGCCGACACTGGCCTACCACAGCGCCACCATCTACCACAAGGAGCTTTTTATCTTTGGAGGGACTTTCCACAAGATGGCATCCCTGGAGTCCAGAGCCTGCAGCAACACACTCTACGTCTTCAACCCTGAGTACAAGATTTGGTACCAGCCCATTGTGGAGGGAGAGAAGCCCTTACCTCGGCTCGGGTGAGACACCTTCATTTCAGCCCTCAAAGATAGAGGGAGGGAAGCACCAGCAGGTCCCATCTAGTTAATCTCCACACCTGGAGGGCACGGCATGATTGTCCCCCACAGTCACATCCCCAGGGCTTGGTCCAGTCCTAGTTTTAAATGTCCCAAGCGAAGCAGCTCCCAGCCCTTCCCTGGGGGACTGTCCCATGTTGATGGGTTGTGCACTAGCAGGTGGTGCTCAGGTATTAGGCTCTCATGGCTGTGGGGAGCACAGAAGGGAAGAATGGCCATGTGTAAACTCAAGCTGCCCCAGCCCATAAGAGTGTAGCTGAGTTAATGGCTCTCCTGGAAGCCTGCTTTTGTGAAAAGAGACTGAACCCTCAATTCCAAGAGGTTCCAGAGGCTGTCTTGCTCACTCACCTCCCTCTCTCCCCAGCCATTCAGCCACTCTGCTGAGGAACAAGCTGGTGATCTTTGGGGGTCAGAGGACCCCTTTGTACCTGAATGATGTGCATATCTTGGATCTGGGTGAGAATAGGACATCGCCATCCTGTCAGGCTATACTGGGCAGCTGGGGTGGGAATCCAAGGGCTGCCTGCCTTAGGAAACATGATTGGGGGACAGTGAGTGAATGAGGGGCCTTATGTGATATGGGAGGGGGACAGCATGGCTCTGAGGTGTCTGGAACAGAGTAAGGGGATGGGAAGCTGTGGATGTAGGGAAGGCCCTGATGGGGTGGGAAGGAGATGGTTTGGCCCAAGGCAGGGGGTAAGAAACATCAGGCACTGGTGATTGCAAGAAGCTGGATAGCAGATTAAACTGGTTGCTGCTCTGATTTGATGCGGCAAACCCTATGTTCCCCACTTTCAGCACAGAGGTGTTTGCCTTGCAGTAGGGCTGGGCAGAGCTGCTAGGATTGCCATGCATTTGAAGTGTCTCCTGTTTTTCCCCCTGTGCTTCAGGTTACATGGAGTATGTGCCGGTCCCATTTCTTTCAGGACAGCCTTCTTCACGCTGGTAAGATCCTGCTGCAGGATCAAGAGGCCTCTCTCCCCGCCCCTGTATCTCACTTCATGGCTGGAACTGTGCTTCCTGCATGCTTGCAGGGCTACCACCCAGCACAACTCGCCCTCCCTGGTGCCTGGGCAGCAGCAGAGCCAAAGAAAGGGAGAAACCCTTATAAGGAGAATGCTTGGTTCCTGAAGGGAGGCCCTTGGGTACTTGCAAACATAAAACCCTCTGCCCTTCATTAGCACCTTTTGTCTGAGGTTCTCTGGTGCTTCTCAGACACACATTAAGCCTCTCAGCACCTGCAGAGGTGAGTCACCATCTAAGGCACAGAGAGGAAAGTGACTTGCCCGAGGTTATGCAACAGTTCAGGGGCAGGCCTGGGACTAGAACTCGGGAGTCCTGACTCCTATCTGTGGCGTGAACCACTATCCCAGGCTTCCTCTCCTAGGTAAGTAGAGGCCCCCTAGGTGGTGTTTGGGGGAGGAGGGGCAGGGAAGGTGGGTCCCCTGCATGTTTTGCTCTGGTTATTATTATGCTTTGCTCTGATTCTAGCTTCCATGCTGCAATGCCAGTGTCTGACCAGAAGGTCCTGATCAGTGGAGGCTGCAATGCCAAGGGAGCCCTGCAGGATGTATTCACCTTTCACCTTGGTGAGTAACTCCCCATCCCCTCCTCGGAGCTGCTGACTGACAAAGAATTGCTGAAGGTGGCTGTTGTGCGGCAGTGACAATGCACTTGCTGGTATTTCTGGCAGCCTTGTGTCCATCTGTCTGTTTCATCCCTGGCACAGAGGACAGCTTTGCCAGCAGCGATCGTTCCTTTCTATTGCAGACACCTTTGCATGGAGCACAGTGACACACAGTCACCTCTCCTTAGTGCCCCGGGCTGGCCACACGCTGCTCAACCTCACCTCTGCCCACCTGACAGATGTGGACAAGGAGAGCCAGAGCAAGCGCAACCTCTGCACGGTGCTGGTTTTTGGTGGCTCAGACTGTGCTGGGACCTTCTACAATAGCACAAGCAAGATCCAGCTGGACCTAGAGGAGACCAAGCCCAGGACAGCAGGGGTTCTGGGTCATGGTAAATAGAGACACATGGATAGAGAGTGGGTGGCAATAAATGAATCAAAGCAAAGAGGCGAACCAAGTCTCTGCATGTAGGTGAAATCTGCCCCACAGGAATGTCTCCCTGAAACCTGCGGTGACTTCTTGCCTATGTTGGGGCCCATGGACATGCAGCCTGAGGACTGGGCACAAATCTCCAGCCTCACACTTGTATGTGCCTATGCTTTGACACCTAATTACCCTGGGAAGCCTGAACTAAATCTGCAGTGTCCTGTTAGAGGAATTGTCCCCATGGCTTTGGGCAGAACTAGTCTCTTGCTTTCCTCTCTTGCTGTATATCATTTCTCTTCCCTGCCCCAAATCCCAGCTTCTGTTGGGCAGAAATGAAGGTGACCTCATATATTCACTCTTAACTGGGTAAGGAGAGGGGGTTGCTGCAGGCTCTGAAGAGAGGGCTGTAAGGTGAGGATGTGAGTCACCCACCAAAGCTGGCTGGATCTCAGCTGCAACTTGGCAGTTCCTTTCTGCCATCCAGGAATGGGGTTCTTCTGGCTTGGAATGAATGAGGATTCACCACCCAGAAATCTCCCCTTGGGAAGGAAGGGGGACACTATTGCTAAAAAGTGAGTGACTGGCTTTCTACAAGTGGCTGAAAAGTGTCTGATGCTGTGTGATGTCTGGGTGTAAGTGGCATGCCATCTGGGGATGGGGAAGAGAACGTTGTCATCTTTGGCTAAGGGGGGAGCTGGCTGCTATGCCAGCAGTGAGGAGACTGGTTCTCCCAGGTTGCTGCTGGGTGAAGGGAAGACACATAGATCACCCAGCAGCCTGGGACAACTAATCTCCTTCATGCTGTCACTGCCGGCGTGGCAGGCATGGTGTAGCATAGCTGTCGGTGGTTCCCTACAAGAGCAGAGAGACCCGGGGTCGGGGTCTAGCTCTCATTATGTTTGCAGGAGGAGAGGGTGGGCCTGATCTTCCTTGCACTTACAACCATGTAAATTGGTATTTACTGAAGGCAATGGGGGTTACTGTAACTGTGGTGCGGGTGCTAGGACAATCAGGCCTAGTGTGTTAATGGCCTACTTTTACTCTGTGCGCTGAGTGGTTCTTTGATATTCTTCCATGGCTGGTGAAAGTGAGGCACCCTCAAGCTGGCCTTGTCCCATAGGTACAACTCAATCTTGCTATGAACATTTCCTGTAAAAGGGTATTGCCTTCACCCTCCACAATAAAAGAGCTAAGATCTTCAGCAAGCCCATTCCTGGGCCCAAAGCCACACAAATGCAGGTCTGAGGATAGCTATTGATGCTTCTCCTTTAATCTGCTACATGGTGAGATTGAAGGTAGTTAAACATGATCAGGGGTAAGCATGACCTTTCCCTTCCATACTCAGGTCTGCAATGGGCCACCCACAGCTTCTTTCAGAGTACAGGGGCAGGGGCACTCGCTCTCTTTCTCCTTCCTCCTATGCAGCTGGCAAGGATGCATCAATGCTATGGCTGCCTGCTGGGCACTTGTGTGGCTTTCCTTCTCTGGGCAGGATGTGATCCATTTCTCTGCCATCCCTGCCCTTGTGCTTTAGAGAGGAACAGAGCCTGCTTGTAGGAAGGACCTTAGGCTCGCAGCTCTGCGGGGGTATCCGGCTGCCGGCATGGGTGGCTCACTTGGAATGCCTCTAGCTCCAGAAGGGCTTTATTGATTCTGGTGATCGTGGGGTATGGAGCCAGGTCCACTTTAAATCTACAAAGGGAAGAGAGATGCAGTCAGATACTCCCAGCTAGACAGTCCAGCAGCAAGCACTAAGGAGGAGTTCTACAGAATCCCTGCTCCACGGACCCAGGGCAACACGATCAGCACACAGCTCCAGAAAAGTCAAGCAGGGGAGAATCATCTGGCAGATTGGGGTCTAGTCTGCACCAGGAAAAAAGGTGTGTTCTGATCATGTGTTAGCTAAGCTCACCCCTAGGATCTACCTTGGCCTGCTAATGTGTGAAAGCAGCCTTGTCTTCACTAGGATTTTACCTCCCGGGTGTTACGTTGTGTTGGTTAGCATGGGGCAAGAAACACACCTTTTTTCCTAGAGTGGATACCCCCACTGGTCTTACAGCCACTTTTTTTTTTTTTTTTTTTAAATAAGGTTGCCAGTCATTATGGTATCCAAATAGCTTCTCTCTCATAGCGTGTGCAATGCTGCAGTTCTGGCTGCAAGAGGCCCTTTCAATAAGGGCTTCTACTAGCCCTAAGAGGCTGCGTTTCCCATGCTTTCTGCATAGGTGGGGACACAGAATCAGGCCTGTCTGAGCTCATGTGGGGGCAGCTGCCAGTCTTGCTCTGGGGGCCACAGGGAAGAAATCCCAGCTCCTCACTTTTGTGAACCCTCAAAAGATACAGGGTTTTGGAAATGAAAAAATCCTGGTGAGACGAATACCCCCATAGAGATGCGGGGAGAGGGAGTGCTATCCCAATTCGCTTGAGCATCAGCAGGAGAGAGGTCAGGCTTGGCCATCAACTAGGCCTCTGGTGCAAGAAGTGGGGTTTAATGGAGCTGACTAGCCCTCATTTACCTCTCAGCATTGTAAACCTGAGGGACCAAACACAAGTCAGCCATGGAAACCTGCAGTGAAGCAAAGAAAACTGGTCAAAGCAATTCAGAACCCCACCCTACTGCCCTTTAGTGCACTGGCTGGAGCTACAGAGTGCCAGGCCCATTTTTCCCCAAAAGGCCCTTCTCAGCACTCGCCCTGTTCTGTACAGTTCTGATGCTATAGTGGGCCCTATGAAGAGCAGGAGGCTGCCTCCCAGTCCAGCTCCTTTTAGGGCCTGGAACAGCAGTGGTTGGTTGTTTCAATTTCAAACTATAGCTACACCCAACCCAATCCATGCCTGTGCAGGAGAGATGAACCGCTGACAGATGAAAATGGTTGTACATGTTTATGTTCAGTGTTTACTTTCCACTGGCACCAGGTGTTACACAAAATGAAAGAGGAGGGGCCTGACAGGCTCAGGGGGATGGGATACAAAGCTTTTCACCTCTAGGGCAGCTGCCCCAGTGCTGCCTGGAACAGTAGTGACCATAAACTGTTACTCTCTGATGCCTTTTGGGGGCTTGTGGGCTCTCAATCCAGTTTCTAGCGGGATGGGTGTTGCCATGTTGAAACTAAGCTTGTTTGTTTCTTCCACATTGGAGGGAGGGCAGTTATTCTTTTACCAACTTCCATGCAGCGTGAAAGGGTTGAATTGGGAGCTCTGGGGCTGCACAGAAGGTCTCCCTCTCTGCAAGCAGGCTCGGTTGCTGGGCATGGGGACAATGCAGAATGGAACCCTTGGAGTCACTTGCAGCTGCTTACCATTGGCCCCAGGAGAGATGCATGGGTACGCACCATGGGGACCAATTCATTAGGACAGCCCTGCACCATGAGATTCCTAGGGCAACTCTGCCACTGAGCAAACAAATCCAGGTGCCCCTCCAAAGAGGGAGGAGACAACCAGTTGGGGACATAGGCACCGAGTCCATGGGTGCTCTGGGGCTGGAGCACCCACAGGGAAAAATTGGTGGGTGCTTAGCACCCACCGGCAGCTCCCCACCCCACCCCCCCATCCCAGCTCACCTCCGCCTCCGCTCTGCCTCCACCTCCTCCCCTAGGTGAACCGCGTGCCTGCTTTTCCCCCCTGGCTCCCAGTGCTTGTGCCGCAAAACAGCTCGTGGCACAAGCGCTGGGAGCAGGGGGGAAAAGTGGGAATGCGGTGCACCCAGGGAAGAGGTGGGGCTGGGATTTGGGGAAGGGGTCCAATAGGGGCAGGGAGGGGGTGGAGTTGGGGCAGGGACTTTGGGGAAGGGTTTGGAATGGGGGCGGGGCAGGGGTAGAGTCGGGGTGGGATCTCCCACTGGCGCTGGGGAAAGTTGGCGCCTATGGTTGGGGATGGAGAGTTGGATCCATGATAAGTGAACCTCACTTACTATTTGCATTGCAATAGCTCCAAGAGGAACCAAGACCAAGGCCCCATTGTGCTTGGCTGTATGTGTACACACACAGTGTAACAGACAGTCCCTGCACTACAGAGCTTACAACCTAAATAGGACGGACAGAGAGGGTGTGGGGGGCAAGTACTACTATTTCCATTTTAGAGATGGAAAACTGAGGCATAGAGAGAGTAGTGATTTTCCCGGGGTCATTTAATGACACTGTGGCAGAGCCAGGAATTTATCCAGATTTCTTCATAGCAATATAGGACTAGAAGGGAGTCGAGGGGTCATCAAGTCCAGCCCTCTGTACTGAGGCAGGAACAAGTAAACATAACTGTCCCTAACAGGTTATCTAGCCTGTTCTTAAAAACTCCAGTGATGGGGATTCCCCAGCCTCCCGGGGGGGGGGGGGGGTTTCTATATAGGGGAGAAGCCTATTCCAGAGCTTAACTACCCTTATAATTCGAATTTTCCCCCTTATATCTAACCTAAATCTCCCTCGCTGCAGTTTAAGCCCATTACTTCTTGTCCTACCTTCAGTGGACATTAAGAACAGCTTCTTTATTACAGCCCTTATATAGCTGAAGACTGTTATCAGGTCCCGGGCCAGTGCCTTAGCTACCAAACCAAGCTTCCTCCCACAGGTTAGTGTGGTGAAGCAACTGCAGGACTAGGACGTAAAGCTCAGGGATTGGGCAGCCTTCTGAAGTCTCTCATACTTTCTGCTCTGGCTGGAAATGGTAGCAAAATGAGCTGTACTACTTAGGCTGTTTGGTTTTTTTTTTTTTAAAATGTTAGTGATAACGAGGTGCTGCGGTGGCAGGGCTGGAGACTGAGCCCTGTGTCAATGGACATCACCACAGCCACTGTGCCTGCTTGGACCAGGAGTGGCCACCTCCAAGGGGATTTAGTCCTTAGACTTTAGCAAGATGGCCACCGAAGAGGCTGGTTTGTGCTGCAGAGAGGTAGCATACAGACAGGGCCAAGCAAATGTCCCTTCTAGCCCATGGCTTTTTGCCATCCCCACAGAGCTGGGAAATGGAGAGCTGTCCTCCTCCTGTGTGAAATGCAATGAAATGGCTACTCCCCAAAGGAGGAGGAACTAGGGAAGGAGAGCAGGTAATGGGCTGAGTCGGATGCATGCAGCCCTGCTTCCTATGGAGAGGCCCAGGGAATGCTCTGTCTGCATATACCTTGAGCACAGGGTGTGGTTGTGCTGTGACTCCACAGCCTCTATGCCCAAAGCCAGTCCCAGATAAATGCTAGGCTATCCATGCCTTCTGCAAGCTGTGCTGTCTGATCTCCTTACCTCATCCCCAATGCAATAGCGCCCAGCGGTGTGCTGCAGGATCCGCTCCAGAGCTGCAGAAAGAGACAGTGCATTGGGTCAGGAATCAGCAACTCCCATTTTCAGCGGGGAGTGGTGCTAAATTACCATCAGCCTTTTGGATTGAGTGTTGTGAACCAAGGTACCCTGAGTTGGGCTAGAAGGGAGCAACCCAGGGCAGCACTTACAGGGAAGGAGACTCTCACTGGAGCTGAGGAAGGAGGGTGCTTTGGGACTCAGCCATTTTGGACCCAAGATGGTTTCAAAAGGACAAAATAGGCTTCCTATTCTTCCCCTCTGCCCCTTGCCTCCGCTGTTAGTGGCAAGGAGAAGGGCTTCCCTATATGAAGAGTCTAAAGAGCAGAACTGGAAAGAAGAAGAATAGGAAGGTTCAGGATACAGGGATATAAACTGAGTGAAACGGAGGGCCAGTCACTCCTATAGCCCTATCCCAGGTCACTGGAACAAGGAGGCCCAGAGTGAAATTAAAGGCAACTTATTGAGAGGAAATAGAAATGGTATTTTATGCCTACTAGAATTAACCTGTGGGACACTCTGCCATGGATATTGAGGTAACAAGTTTAGTACTATTTAAAATAAAGGGTTTTACACTTTATATGAATGTAAAAGGCATCTGCTGTGACAGCTGAGATAAAAGGTTACGTGTTGTCAGTCCTCATGTGTCAGGGTGTGAGCCGACTGCTACAGGGGTCAGGAAGGAATCCCCTCCTCCCTGCTTCCAGATGCAGCATTGAGCTTCCTCTGGAGCATCAGATATTTAACCACTGCTGGATGTGAGATTCTGGGTCAGATGGGCCCTTAGTCTGCTCCAGCATGGCAGCAGATGATGCCAGACTAGATGGCTCGTTGTTCTGTTCCTGTGCAGTAGAAAGCAGGACTTTGGACCAGATCGCCCACCAGACTGCTCATCCAGTGCTTTGTGCTATTAGTAGATGCGCTGATTAATTCAGTGCAGACGTACCTTTGAAACCACATGTGATATAGTGTTGAGCCCATTCCAGCTTCTTCTCCCCTCCCACTTGTTTCAGGAAAGTCAGGTTCTGAGGAGGCCAAAGAGTCCCGAAATTAGCTTGATCCAGCAGGCTGTAACTTGCCACAGGCCACACACAAAACAGGGTCAGCTGGGATTAGATGGTGTCAGTCCCTAATCCCCAGTCCCAAACTCAGCCCTTTGGGTCTCTGAACCACAGACCCACACATCCCCGTTCTTTCTCAGAGTTGCCCTTCCTACAGAACATCACTCCTTTGCCTGGAGCTCTCTCTGCCCCCTGCCAAGAGGCGCTAACCTCTGCAACTGGAACTTGCTGCGCTGCTTGTAAATTCAGCTCTTCTTGAATAAGAAGCCCTGGGGAACCATGGCCATTTCTCAGGGTCAGAGCACGTGGCCTTTGCAGGAAGTGCCTTGCTGTTTTCAATCGGCAAAACAGGTAGATGCTGCTAACCATGCTGAGCCTGGATTCGATTCTATGCCACTGTCTGTGTGAGATCTGCCACTCTATTGCCCATCAGCAGTTTCAACAGAATGATACTGTCACAATCTTTGAGAGACACAGACCGCTACAAACCCAATCTTGGAAGTCTCATCTGCCTGTTTGTGACAGGACAGTACCTGCAGGGGCTGAATGCCAGAAACAATGTGATCCGAAATCATCCGGGCTTGGGCTCTCTTCTTCAGATCTTGAGGCAGCAGCCTGGGGTTAGGCCGGGTCTCTTCCAGGTACTGAATTATGGCCAGCTGCATTGAGCAAGAAGACATGGGTGAGATACTGGAGGGCTGGGGAGGAGAGGCCAGCCCCATTGCATGGCAAAGGAGCAGGCATAAAAGACAGATTTCCTGTCTGAGGTCTGGCCTCTTCTGATCAGATGCAACTGAAGAAGTGAGGTTTTTACCCACGAAAGCTTATACCCAAATAAATCTGTTAGTCTTTAAGGTGCCACCAGACTCCTTGTTGTTCCAGTAAAAGGTGGGATTCTGAGACAGCAGCTGAACTATGATCACTAATATCAGGTGCCTTTGTGCCTGATACAGAGTAATCTCTCACCTGAAGAGGAAGACAACTTCCCATGGCAGTCTCCCTGCAGGTGCTGCTTGCTATACACTTCCCAGCCGGGATCATTTTCCTCATCACAGAATGATACTCTGTGCTCTCTAACCCAGAGACCAGGCACTCTGTGGGGGCAAAGTCCTCCCTCTGGGCAGCAGGACACAGTAAATAATTAATGGGCAGAGCTGGCTGGGCTACTCACCGACTGAGACAAGATGATGCCATCGATTTTCAGAGCCGGGACCTGCTGCATTGGATTTACTGCCTGGAATTCAGTAGAAAACTGGAGAGAAGACACTGGGATTACTATATTAGCCAAGAAGAGCCAAGTATTCCTCTCTGAAAGGGAAAGCCTCAAGGGTCCCACAGCTCTGTATATTATCTCTCCATGTCTGATTGTTTGGTAGGAGTGTGGGCCAGCGCTACCTTGTCCCCCAATTCCCCTGCTCGCAAATGGATTTGCAGTCTTGCTGTCTCTGATACTGCTGAAACCCTGAGGCTTCTCCACTATGTTTTCTCCTTGGCTCTTTCCTCTGCTTCAGTCCTAATGGTCTTGGTACATTATGACCCTCCTTTGGGCACCAGGAGGCACTCCTGTTGGAGCCTAGGGTTCACTCCAGGTGCATTACCCCCACATTATCCATTGACCCCAAGTGACAAGGCAAGATCCATCCCCGATCCCCCCCAGCAGTGCAATTGCAGTATCATTTTCGGCTTGGCCATGTTGTCATATGCAGATTCCTGCCTCAGTGGTGCTACAGGGCTACCTGTGCTCCAGGCAGTCAGTCTCTACAGTGTTGTTCAGGCATCTCCGTGACAAATGCCTCCATTTTCTGGTGCCACCCATCCACAACCCAGGATTGTACTTGGAAATCGCAGCACCCTGCCTTTATTGCCACCACCTGATGAGCTTGGTTCCCCCATGCCGACTGAAGGCAGAGGGCCTGCCTGCAGCCTCCTGGATAATGTCAGGCACAGACATCAGAGAGGGAAGGAAACTATTATGTCTCATGCAATCTGTCTCTCTCACCCTCCCTCCTGGAGGCTAAGGCAGGATGGTGAGTTTCCCTACCATGCTGTCCAGTTAAATCCCCCAAGCAATAGTGCTAATGCCCCTTCCCATGGAGAGACAAGTCCATGGCCTGATATATGTGAGTTTCAGGAGATTTTCTTGATCTCAGCCTATGCTTAAGTCAACGCTAGAAAGGGAGGGAGTTAGGGATGCTGAAGAGGTCAGAGGCAACAGTTAGCTACGGAAAAAAGTCTGGAGTGAGCAGGCAACATAGATCCCATTTCCTTTGCCCTCTGATAATCCTGGGCTGCCAAATTTCTAGTGATGCCTAGGCTTAGCCTGTGTGCCAGCTTAGGGGAAGGCTGACTGTAGTTGCCCTCTTACCTGCTGTCCCCCATCCTTCAGGAGGTTCACTGGTTCCTGATCATAGGCAATTCCCTTCAGAGCCAGTGCTAGAGGGAACACAGCATATAGATTCAGAGAGGCAGAGTGAGCCAGAAAGCTAGGTTCCACGGAAAATGGGCTCATAACGTTTTAAAATCTCTATTGAAGACAGTTTAAAAACAAAACAAGAAACCCCTTTCCCTTCCGAGTGGTTGTTTTAGATCTCCTGTGGAAGACAGTGCCTCTGTCATGCAGTGCCCCCTAGTACTTTGCTGGGGCACTGAGGTCAGTACTAACACCCTATTGAATAACCCCCATTATGCCCTGCATTACAGCACCTTGGGCTGTAGGGTCAGTGGTAGCTCACAAGGGAGATTGCCCTGTGTCACCCATGTCACTTCTGGCAAAACCTTATTTTAACTTGTCCCCATCCAAATACTGAGCAAGCCCCACCCTGCTTAACTTGCAGGATCAGATAAGATCACACACTTTGAGGTGGTATCACTGCAAGCACAGAACACAGGGCCTCTTTAAGGAATGTGGGAGATGTGGGCATCTGGATTACATTAGCGTTATGAAGGAAGTATGTCCCTCTAACTAGCTCTAGAGAGTGTCTGGGGAAAAAAGGAACTACTGAGGGCAGGGGGGAGCCATCCAGAGCCCAGTATTGAGAGGCCAGGGCTGAGAAGAAAGGACAACAGAGATCCCCCCTTATACTACCAAAGCTGGGTAGATGGTTAAAAGTTTGTAACAAACATACACAAATATTCTTTCAACCCCAGTAAGTATTTTGTCTGCCCATGGCCACTGGAGTTTCAACAGGGTACATGAAATGGTTATTCTCTTGATCCCCTATTAGCCTTCCCCTCCGCCAAATGCAAATTGATTCTGGTGTTTGCTCTCTCCTCCCGCTGGAGAAATGGCGGAAACCCAAAGTCACTGTTTTTTCAGTTGCATGTCTGCTGATCTCTCTCTCACTCAGTAGGTCACTGATTAGTTTGGTTAGTGAAGGGAGTTAGTGTTCAAGAAAGGTGGTGGGTTGACAGTGCCAGAGCAAAGAAGAATTAAACATCAGATCTTACCAATTCTCACTCTCCAGGAGCAGGAACTTCGGAAATAACTATAAAGAACTGGCTGAGGGGAGAGAGAGGAAAGTGGATTACATGATGGTAATGCTAGCAGTTTCTCAGCTAGACGGAAGCATTTTTCCTTCTGCCCCTTTGAAAATTTGATCAAGTTTGATGCATTTCAACAAGGATACAAATCAGGTGAGTTTGGGCACTTCAAAACGTTTTTCTTTGTCACTTTCAGATGTGGGCTTCTTTATCATGCCATCGATATCTAAAGTAAAATTCCCTTTTGTGTACAATGAGAAGCTCCATTTGAAACCTCAGTGGCATGAGCCGGCCCTTTGAGCCATTCACCGACATGCATGTTCCCAATGTGGAACAGAAGCTACTCATCCAAGCAAGTGCTGAGAGTGCAGGGAAGTGAATCTCTAGTCTATCTATTGAACCAAGGAAGCGCTCCCCCAGCTGCTTTAAATCCTTTGTATCTCACCTTTCCAGAGAAATCCATGGTCTGCGTATGCAGTTCACTCCAAAGAGTGAAAGCCACATGACCCTGCCTTCTCTTTTCACTCAGCTGGGGTGGGGGAAGGCTCTGCCCCTACAGCCAATGAGAAAAGTGCCAGAATCCAAATTCTTAATAGCTTCCTGTGTTCAGAAGATTCAGCAACAGGAACTGGCAGGATTCAGTTCTTTTGCGAGTGAATATCCTGTACCAGCCACACCCCTAATTCTCTTTAGGTTGATATATTGAACCCATCACTCTGATATCTGGCTCTTGTCACAATGGATAAAATATTTATATAGAGACTTTTGGGTTGCTGGAAGCTGCAAGTGCAGAAGTACAACTCGGTGGGATAATAAAAGGAGAGCAGGTTCTAAAAACGGGGTTTCTGTTATCACAAAGATGTCAGCTCTTCTGAGCAGGGACTGTCTTTGTGTAAAACTGGGAATACACTGTGTAACATATAACAAAGGTTCCTCCTCTGTACACAAGGCTTGTTTGTATTTCTTATTAATAGTAATAAGAATAATAAACCTCTAGCTCCTTCCTTTGGAGGACCCCAAAGCACTTCAGAAAATGTTAATAAATTAACTCTCACATGCCACCCCTTCTCCCCCCCCAAAAAAAAAATGCAGTGTCATGATATCCCCATTTTACAGAGGGGAACACTGTACCAGAGAGAGGAAGTGACTTGTCCATTGACTTGTGTGACAATGGCAGAACCAGAACTAAAACCCAGGAGTCCTGAGTCCCAGTCCTGTATCTAAGCACTAAATCATTTTCACAGCTAAATATTAGATTAATTTAAACTGTTTACAGAATGTAAATGTTTGACTAAATTATCCCAGCCAAAGTTCACCAGAGGAATGGTTGGTAGGAGGTCAGGGAAGGAAGGAATGCTGCAATATTACCAGCTCTTGGGATTTTCCTGTGACAGTCATGCTATTGGGTGATTTTCACAAAGCCTCAGCTCCTGAAGTCATAAGATTATGTGAAAATCTCAGTTTTCATTTAAAAAAATAGTAACTTTCTAGCCCTTGTGGTTGCAGATCAAAACTGGAAACCACAAACTCTAAGGAATCAAAAACCAGAAGGTAAAGAAAAAGCATCCAAAATGTATTAATTTTGTTCATCTTTCTTTGGGACCTTGCTCAGAATTTTTGAACACTTGGAGTTGGCAATATCTTCCCTTTGCCTCTCTGTTCCCTGGCTCTAACCTCCCAGTCAAGAAAGACATTTTCCTGCTTGCTCTCTCTCTATATTTCTGCAGTCTGCCTGATCATTTGCTAACTGAGTGTCATGCATGTAAATTGTGTCATGCTGATGACCTTGCTCTTTAGTTTCAAGGCCCCTGAGGATGAGGGGAAAGCATCACATTTACTTTACAACTTAGGATCCTTTGGCACTTGAGCCAGTGCCAGCTCAAGTTAACACTGCCTTTCAGAGATGTGAAAAGGCCAAGAAATTGGTCTGCACAGGGAGAGGGGAGGTGAAGAGAAGATCCGGGGCAGTAAGTCCTCCCAGTCACATGCTGGGTGTGCAGAAGTGCGATCAGATTCCAAAGAAGATTCATGACCCTAAGAACATTAGAATGGCCATACTGGGTCAAACCAAAGGTCCATCTAGCCCAGTATCCTGTCTTCCGATAGTAGCCAATGCTAGGTAACCCAGAGGTAATAAACAAAACAGGTAATCATCAAGTGATCCATCCCTAGCTTCTGGCAAACAGAGGCTAGGGACACCATCCCTGTCCATCCTGACTAATAGCCATTGATGGACCTATCCTCCATGAATGTATCTAGTTCTTTTCTGAACCTTGTTATAGTTTTGGCCTTCACAACATCCTCTGGCAAAGAGTTCCACAGGTTGACTGTGAGTTGTGTGAAGAAATACTTCCTCTTGCTTATTTTAAATCTGCTGCCTATTAATTTCATTTGGTGACCCCTAGTTCTTGTGTTATGAGGAGTAAATAACACTTCCTTATTTACTTTCTCCACACCAGTCATGATTTTAGAGACCTCTATCAGATCCCCCCTTAGTCGTCTCTTTTCCAAGCTGAAAAGTCCCAACCATATTACTCTCTCCTCATGACTCCTTCACTGAGAAGAACTTTCACTCTATGCATCCGAAGAAATGAGGTTTTTACTCACGAAAGCTTATGCCCAAATAAATCTGTTAGTCTTTAAGGTGCCACCAGACTCCTTGTTGTTTTTGTAGATACAGACTAACACGGCTACCTCCTGATACATTGACTCTTGTTTCTATTCACATCTCATTCTTTAGAGAGGAGGTCGGGAGTAGTATAGATAAAGAACAGAGCAGCTGACGGAGTTCTATGCTTGGCTCTGCTTGTGGTGATGCAGTACATGACCCAGGACATAACCTCTATGTGTGAAATGGGGCGGGGGATGAGAACTCTTACTTAACTAGGGGGCTGTGAGGCTTAATGCACTGATGGCTGTAAAGTGCTTAGAGAGCATCAGCTGGAAGGAGCAGCCAGTACAAAGTACTTACAGAGTGTTCCTGGTGACACTTATAGCTTGGAGCTTATTTCACTGGCTAATAACCTGACTCTTCCCCCCCCAAACTTTGCCCAGCTGAGGACCACATTGATAGCTGGGTGACAGCTGGAGGCTACATCCTACATGGCTTAAAATGGATCATATTGCAGCAGCTTACATCTTTAATAGGGGCATACAGCCCACACAGCATACAGGTTCCATTACACAGCAATACTTCTTGAGGCTCAGTGGGAACTTATTGGCTCAACATGGAGCACCATGGGCAGCATGTCCCTGCAACCCTGTTTCCCTCTAAGAGTCACTTCTTCCCAGGCTTTCACTGGTACCTATATGTCTCAGGCTGTATCAGCCTGACCAGGCTCTTTGCATCCTGACCATTTGTTGATTCGGACCGCAACAGTGTAACAGCCCTGTGTGCATTACCTGCCTCAATACAGCAGCCCTGGCAACAATGGATAACGTAGGATTAGAGAGGGAAAAAGTGTTCCTGTGAGGTATGCCCAAGGGTTAGAAACCCATCTGAAACTCTCCACCTGTGCTTTGTTAGATTATAATTTATCATCAGACCATAACCCAAAAGAACAGAATAAATCACTCAGCTCTTAATCACCCAAAACATGTGCAGAGGGTTCCACTACTATAGGTCGTGGGAGAGGAAAATATACCAAATATACCATATATTGTAATTTATGATAGTTCTATTTCATTTGCTGCACATGCTGTTTAAACTCTGATCCAAATTCCTTGCCCTTCCCACAAACACACATGCCATCTGGTGGGATGCCTCTTGTTAGATGTTGAAAGACAATCTGATCACTTACAAAATTTTCTGTGTTCTGCAGCTGTCCTTATACTAAGCAGTTTATTTCTTTCCTGGAGACTTAAGTGGAGGCACTGGATACTAACTTAGGTCTCGATCCTGCAAGTTGTTCTACTTGGGCAAAGCCCAAGTGAAGTCAATGTGGCTCTGTACAGGCATAGGGGTCTGCCTGTGTGTGGGATATTGCAGGACTCAGGGTTTAAACTGAATCCAGGGATTACTTACATCTGATCAAGGGGCCACAATTTCAGCCCATCTTCCATAAATCGTGTGGGGTTGAGGGTAGCTACATCCCTATTTGAAAATGCACAGTCTGCACTTCAGATGCCTCTGAATTAACCTGTATCAGAGGGGTAGCCGTGTTAGTCTGAATCTGTAAAAAGCAACAGAGGGTCCTGTGGCACCTTTGAGACTAACAGAAGTATTGGGAGCATAAGCTTTCGTGGGTAAGAACCTCACTTCTTAACCTGAAGATCCTCCAGCTGAAGCTGCATTATCTGTAGGAGAAATAAGAGCTTCTCTTTGTACAGAGTGAAAGAAAAAGCCCCAATTCTGCTCTCGGTCTCTGGGCCCCAGTAGCAGTAAATACCTTCATTAAGGCAGTACTCATCTTGCACTTTCAGCACCGCTCTGTTCTGTCTCTCCGCCTCTGAATGAACAGAAGTCACACGGATGCTAACATTCCATTGGCTGACGCATCCTCCTTCACGTACTCTCTATAGGTCTATTACTGCTGCCAGTCTTATTCAGATGAGACCCCAGGCATGCTTTGAGAGTTGCTGGGATTCTGGGAGTAGTAGTTCTAGATGCTTTTCCAGGTCTTAAAGCATCTCGATTGGATAGTTTATGCCCAAAAGTTTAGATTTTTGTAAGGAGGAAAAGATTTTTTAAATCCTCATATTAACTGAAACGTTTTAATATTATTTTCTAAAATTTCAATGAAGAATTTGAATGTAAACATCCCCCCCCAAAGTAATTGCAACGCAGAGTGCAGAATACAGGTCAAAAAACAGAAAGTGAATCTGGCTAGCAATAAAAGTAAATCTGATCAATTAAGCACTATTGTATAGGCATGACAAACATTGCAAGTGCTGTGTGTGCCCAGCTGATGTGTGTGTGAGCAGTGGAAGGGCAGTCACTGGGTGTGTCTGTCAGTGAATGGGGATGGGCAATGGATGTGCACAGTGCACACAGATGTGTGTGGTGGGTGGGGTCTGTCAATGAATGGGGGCGGGCAGTAGGTGGGCGCATGATGTGCACATGAGCTGTGGCTGTTTGTAGACAGCACAGTCACTGTGTATGTGTGTGTGTGTGGTCTGTCAGCAAATGGGAGCAGTGAGTATGCGTGGTGGTGGGGGGCAGGGCAGTCATTGGGTGTGTGTGGGGGAGTCTGTCAGTTAATGGACCTGGGGGGTCATTGATGGGTCACTGGATGTGGGGGGTCTGTCAGTAAATGGGGAGTGGCAGTCACAGGGTGTCTGTCAGTGAATGGGGGCAGGCAAGGCAGTGTTGGGGTGTCTAGAGGGGTCTGTCACTGAATGGGAGTGGCAGGCAGGGCAATCTCGCGGTGTCTGTCTGTGAATGGGGGGACGAGCGGGGCAGTCCCGGGGTGTCTGTGGGGGTCTGTCAGTGAAGGGGGTGGGCACGTTGGGCAGTCCCGGGGTGTCTAGACAGGGCCGGCTCCAGAGTTTTGGCCGCCCCAAGCAGCCAAAAAAAAAATAAATAAAAAAAAGCGTGATAGCGATCGCGGGAGGTCCTTCGCTCCAAGCCGGAGTGAGGGTCTGTCTGCCGAATTGCCGCCGAAGAGCTTGACGTGCGGTGCCACCCCTCTCCGCAGTGGCCGCCCCAAGCACCTGCTTGGCAAGCTGGTGCCTGGAGCCGGCCCTGTGTCTAGAGGGGTCTGTCAGTGAATGGGGGGTTGGGCAGGGCAATCTCGGGGTGCCGGCTGGGCGCGGAGGGAGGTGACGGGTCCCCGCCGTTTCTTTTCACGCTGCGCAGGGTCCGTTCTGTGGCATTTCCGACCAGGCTCTCGCTTGACCGCCCCCCCTCCCCACCCCACCCCAGTCGCGGCGACGCTTCGGCCCCCGGCGCGGAGAACTACAACTCCCACGATGCCCTGCGAGGGAACCAGGCTCCGCTTCCCGCCATGCCCTACGGCCCGGACTCCCTTTCCCTTGGTGCCGTGCGCGGTGGTGCCCGGCCGCCGGCGCCTCCCTCGTGTCGGGGCGCGGATGACGCTGGCGGCGGGGTGCTGCCAGGCCGAGTCGGGCCCGCGCTGCGGGGGGCTCCGGCAGCGGCGACCCCGCAGGCCGGCCAGTGAGCCGAGCCGTCCCTCTCCTCTTCCGCGGGCCTGGGCTCCCCTGGAGGCTCCAGTCGGAGTCTGGGCCCCGCTGGCCTTCGTCACCCTCCTCAGCTTCGCCTCCCGCTTCTACCGCCTGTCCGAGCCGCCGCACGTCTGGTGAGGGGCCGCGACGCTATGGCAACGGGGGTGGGGCTGGCGGTCAGGCCGCGGGGGAGGGGGCGGAGTCACGGCTGGGTCGGTCAGGGGCCTAGTGCTGGGTTTAACAGCCGCTTGCCCGCGTGGGGAATGGGGGTTTGGTGCGGCACTCGCGGCCCCGTGGGGTTGGGGCAGCGACAGGCGCCTGTCCGTGGCTGTGTGGCTGGCTGGGTCTTGGGAGTGGGGCAGGGGTATGAGGGGCACAGCTCCCCGCTCGCCCCGCTGACAGTCGTCACCTAGCGGTTCAGCATCCCGCATTGCTTCCCTGATTGAGTATGTGAGCCCCAAGGGATGGATGGGGGGGAGGATAACGTGGAGGTCATGGCCAGCAGGGACACTTCCAGGTAGGGGATACTCAGCGCCGATATACACTTTACATGCCCCTAGGCACAGCATCTTCAGCACTCCCCCGGCCTACAGCTGACCGTCATGTTTTCTGTAAACAAAATAAACGTTTAACCCACTTTTAATTTTTAGGTGCCCCTAGAATGCCAGCCCCCCTAGCATGTGCCTTCTGTGCCTACTTGGAAATCCGGCCCTGGGGATGCTGGGGGGGCATAGCTGAAGGGGTCAAGACAAGGGGGGCCTGGCAGAGAGGAGACTTAGGCTAGGTCTACACTACCCGCCTTAATCGGCGGGTAGAAATCGATCTCTCGGGGATCGAATTATCGCGTCTCGTCGGGACGCGACAATCGATCCCCGAATCGGCGCTCTTACTCCACCAGCGGAGGTGGGAGTAAGCGCCGTCGATGGGGAGCCGCGGAGGTCGATTTTGCCGCCGTCCTCACAGTGGGGTAAGTCGGCTCTGATACGTCGAATTCAGCTACGCTATTCGCGTAGCTGAATTTGCGTATCTTAAATCGACACCCCCCCCCCCATAGTGAAGACCTGCCCTTAGCCAGCAAATTATAGTGAACTCGGTGAATGAGGCAGCTGTGGTGAGGAGCTGGGAAAGGAGGCTCCTACCATCTCCTATGGTGGGAGGTTGCTTTTGAAGGCTCTCCTGTCCACACCCGCTCTGGAACGATTGTCTGGAAAGATCCATCAGTCTGTTTAGTCCCTATGGAGACTGATTGAAGTACTTGTGAGTGTGGATGCCAAGTGCATTTCAACTGGGGAATAAATGTTACATAACACGGTAAATTGTGCTAGTGGAGACAAGGCCAAAGTGCTGTATGAACATGAAGCTAGGCCATGTTCCTGGTGATTAACTGTTTAGTTAGTTTATTATTTTGATGTAAAGACAATAACATAAAAGAATAACTCTCTTGGGCTCTAGATGCTTTTCCTATTAATAAAAATACATTGCTACAGTCATTATGCAACTAACATTATAATACCTAGCTCTTATATAGTGCTTTTGATCATTATCCCCATTTTACAGATGGAGAAACTGAGGCAGCACATTTTCATGCATATGCCAATCACCAGTCAACAAGTATATTATAAAGCAAAATTTCTCATCCTTCACATTCCTCTTAAAAATTGCTGTGCCCAATCACCTCATCCCTCCCCATATGCCTGCTCTTACAGGCTTTACATAAGAACAGCCTTACTGGTTCAGACCAAAGGTCCATCTAGCCTAGTATCCTGTTTTCCATCAATGGCCAATGCCAGGTGCCCCAGAGGGAATGAACAGATCAGGTAATCATCAAGTGATCCGTCTCTTGTCGTCCATTCCCAGCTTCTGGCAAACAGAGGCTAGGGACACCCCTGCCCATCCTGGCAATGGCCATTGATGGACCTATATTCCATGAATTTATCTAGTTCTTTTTTGAACCCTGTTATAGTCTTGGCCTTCACAACATTCTCTTGCAAGGAGTTCCACAGGTCGACTGTGCATTGTGTGAAAAAATACTTCCTTTTGTTTTAAACCTGCTGCCTATTCATTTCATTTGGTGACCCCTAGTTCGTGTGTTATGTGAAGGAGTAAATAACACTTCCGTATTTACTTTCTCCACACCCTTCATGATTTTATAGACCTCTATCATATCCCCCTTTAGTCGTATCTTTTCCAAGCTGAAAAGTGAGTTTTATTAATCTCTCCTCATATGGAAGCTGTTTCATACCCCTAATAATTTTTGTTGCTCTTTTTTTGAACCTTTTCCAATTCCAGTATATCTTTTTTGAGATGGGGCGACCACTACTGCACGCAGTATTCAAGATGTGGGCATACCATGGATTTATATAGAAACAATATATTTTCTGTCTTATTATCACTTTCTTAATGATTCCCAACATTCTGTTTGCCTTTTTGACTGTCGCTGCACATTGGGTGGATGTTTTCAGAGAACTATCCACAATGACACCAAGATCTCTTTCTTGAGTGGTAACAGCTAAATTTAGACCCCATCATTTTATATGTATAGTTGGGATTATGTTTTCCAATGTGCATTACTTTGCATGTATTAACATTGAATTTCATCTGCCATTTTGTTGCCCAGTCACCCAGTTTTTGTTTGTGTGTGTGTGTGTGTGTGTGTTAGTGTTAGTGTTACGCCAGGAAGGACAACTGCTTTGGACTATTTCCGGAGGGGGATGGAGTAGGATTTCCATGTCAAGGGTTCATGTGGTGAACGCCCTGCCAACAATTTTCTCTATTATATACTGAGCAGGCTCCAATTTAACCCTCAGTATGGTACAGGGAGAGAGGTGTATCTTAGGTAAGCAGCTCCCAGGCCATTTAGGGCTTAAGGGACAAAACTAACACCTTTAAACTCAACTTGGCAGCCAGAAGGCAGCCAGTGTAGGTTCTGCAGCACTGGTATATTCATGGAGAGATATCTTGATTAATAAGGAGGCTGACCCATTTTTCATTAGCTCTAGCCTCTTATTGGAATTAACATGTAATCCCATGTAGAATGTTATGCACTTGTCCAGTATAAAAGTGGCAAAAGATAGTCACCAGCAGAATAGACATCTATGGACGTTTGATTATTTCCAGCTCCTGAATACATCTATCTTTTCTTTTTTTAGTTGGGATGAAACTCATTTTGGGAAGATGGGAAGTTACTACATTAACCGGACCTTCTTCTTTGACGTCCACCCACCTCTGGGGAAGGTGAACAGCTCTCATCAGGTCTTGCGTACATTTTAGGAGCCAGTGGAATCCCCTGGTCATTGGAACAATCCAACCAAAGCCTATTCCATTCTTCTGGTCAAAGTGTAGGATGAGCACCAGAGTTTTCTGGATGCCCCTTCCTTGTTACTGTTGTCATCTATTTGTCGTCTAGCTGGGAGGCCGTGACATGTGGCCCCCTCTTGAGGCCACACCCTCTCTTTTCTCTTCCATGGAAAATGCCCAAAATATGGGAAAGTAAAGAGTGTGCTTAATGCTGGATGTTGAAAAGGAGAGAATGGTTGGTCATAAAACATGTGTAAGTGCTTCTAGGGGAAATGAAGGGACCTCCTTGTGGGAAGTTATAGATCCAGGGAGCTAAGCAGTTCCTACTAGCAGGAATGTGAACTAAGTGCTCTGTAAACCAGTGAACAATACTGTTTTCTCAAAATAACATTTGAAAACAGCAGATTCTGAGCCAATCAGATCTTCATATCCAAGTCTATCACCTTGCTCATAAAATGCCACTTAAGAGAGACTTTTATGTTGGCTGAGGAGGATTGCTACTCGGTGGGTATCTGGTATAAGAGAATAGGTTTGTTATTGCACTGCAGCCAAAGGCAAGAACACATTTCAGGGAGTCCTCAATGGTGCCTATGACAGCAATGCCCATAGTTGGGATGGACTATAGCCAGATAAGATGCAGATCTACAAACGTTTGGGTGGATTTTTGATGGTGGGATGTGGGATGCTGTGAACATCTTTCCTGCAGCTGGAGAGGATGCCACTGACTCTGAAGTTGTTTCCCTGACCAGTTTGCCCCTTTCCCTCCCCAGATGCTGATAGGACTTGCTGGGTACCTGAGCGGATACAATGGCACGTTTCCTTTCCAAAAGCCAGGGGACAGATATGAGCATCATAACTACATAGGAATGAGAGGGGTAAGAATGCACAGGCCAGTGCTTAACCCATCCGCTCACAAATCAATGAAGGAAAGCAGAACAGTCCTCTGCAAAAGATGGGTGTTTCCCTTCCTCTCCTTGGGTCCTTCAGTATAGACTCCTTCAGATTTTGAAGAGGCTGGATTTTTATGACATATATTAAATTCTTTCATCCCTACCTCATCTGTCCAGATGGGCTGGTACTGCGATTTTTGAAACTGGAGCAGATACTAACATTCTTTCTTTGTCTGGCTCCATGTCTTTTATGGCAAACAGGCCTCTGAAATAACTTCTTGGATGTTATGGTGAAACCCATGTATTGTCTCTGGCCAGGATAAAATGAGGATGAGTTGACCCTGAAGGCGGTTTGATGAAGCTAATTGAAAGATGTTTCTGGAAATGACTTATATGGTCTGGAAAGAAACAAAAAACAAATCCTTGTTACTTACATGTGTAGACATAGAACTGCATAAACAACTGAAATTCTTCAAATTAAGTTTTCATTAGTTTGGCCTCTGCCTGAGTATCCTCAGTGAGCCAGACTTGGGCACCACTCAGTTGTAGTTACTTGCAGGAGCATCCATTGTTTGAATCTGTTTGAGGATGGAAGGAAGAAGGGTATGTGGGATCTGTATACACATTCATCTTGTGAAGAGATTGTCATTCCTCTCTGTGTCCATTCTTTTCCTGCAGTTCTGTGCATTTCTAGGCTCGTGCCTAGTTCCCTTCGCCTACCTCACAGTGCTGGAGCTGTCCAAGTCACTGTCTGCAGCATTACTTGCAGCCTCCATCCTGATTTTTGGTAAGCATTTCTAGCATCCTCATGGGAAATCTTATCTGTTTGGCATGTGGATGAAGGAGGGCCAGTAATGGAGGCCAGCCTCAGGGCAGATTAACTGTGCAGAGACTTTTCTCTCTGGAGTCATTACCCGCCAAGAAGAAGTCACTGATGAGAAAGGGTAGACACTGCCTCCCTTCTAAGAGCTGAATAACTGCAATCTATATAGTGCTTTTTATTCATAAGGTTCCCAAAGCATTTTATAATCTGATTTAGTTTATAGGTATTTCTGTGGTGCTTATTGCTTTACTATTGGAGTACATTTAAATGCAAGAATTTTAAAAACTGCATGAAAGATGTATAGCTAGAGATAATTTTGCCCACTACTGAAATACAGCCACCTCTGGTATGGGATATAGCAGCTGTTTAATAGTGCACAGCAATGCTAAATAAGACTTCAGGGTAGTAAGTCAATAAAGATTCTGTGTATAATTGAAATTAGAGAGAAGGGTTTAGATAGGCAGAATAGAATTACCTGAGTTAGAGACGGGCCATTTAACACAGAGACTCTCAAAAGGCATCACAAGATTTTTAATATCCCCAAGTCAAAGCTCTTCCTTTCTTTCTGTCTCTGTCTTTCTTTCTGTCTTTCTCATTCCCGCTCCCATTTGTTGAAAGAATGAGGAACTGAAAACATAATCTGTGTTTGCTGCATGGCAATTCAGAGCTCTGCTGTTTGGGCCATTTGAAAATAACATTTCAGAGTTTCTTACTATGGTCAGAGTTGAGACATGCTGACCTGTTTCTAGTCCCAACATTGCCCATGCTGTCTCTTGACTAAGCTGTGAGGAAACTGGCTTGCTACAGACACTGCTCTAGGTTTTCTTTGAAACTGAGACATCTCTTAGTATAGTTGGGTGTTTTATTTTCCAGATACAGGCTGCATTACTCTGTCCCAGTACATCCTGCTTGACCCCATTCTGATGTTCTTTCTTATGGGAGCTGTGCTGAGTATGGTCAAGTATAACTCCTGTGCAGATAGGTAAGATGGTGATCATTTTTTATTATGTCATAGATGTATGAGCCTTCATGCATGTACAATATGGAGACAATATGATAGTGGGAGGGTGGGGAGAGGGGATGGGGTGGAAGGAGAAGAGGGAGGGCATTTGGCTCCTTGGAGATGGGGAAAGAGACTATTGTGAACATGGGAGCTTTCTAAGAGTCATGGATGGGAATGGACCTTTATAGGTCATCTCGTCCAATCCCCTGCACTGATACAGGACTAAGTAATATCAACTATCCCTGACAGGTGTTTGGAAGTTTATAAGTACAGGTTAGACAATGATGGAGAATTTATAACCTCCCTAGGCAATTTGTTTCAATACTTAACTACCTTTACAGTTAGGAAGTTTTCCCTAATGTCCAACCTAAATCTCCCTTGCTGTGATTTAAGCCCATTACTTTTTGTCCTATCCTTGGTGTTTAAGGATAACACTTTATCACCCTCCTTATGACATCCTTTTATGTAGTTGAAGACTGGGTCATGTTTTCTAAATCTTTTATTATTTGTATTGCTCTCCTCTGGACTTCCTCCAATTTGTCCTCATCTTTCCTGAAGTGTGGTGCCCCGATGAGGGTCTTATCAGTGCTGCAAAGAATGGAAGAATTACTTCTAGTGTCTTGCTTACCACACTCCTAATACATTCCAGAATGATGTTTGCTTTTTTATAACATTATTGCATTGTTGACTGATATTTAGTCTGTTATCCACTATACCCCCAACATTTTTTTGCAGTGCTGCTTCCTAGGCAATCATTTCCCATTTTGTATTTGTGCAATTATTCCTTCCTATTTGTTTCAGACCATTTCTCCAATTTGTCAAGATCATTTTGAATTCTAATCCTTTCCTCCAAAGCACTTGCAACCCCTCCCAGCTGAGTATCAGCCTCAGATTTTATCAATGTGCTCTCTATGCCATTATCAAAATAATTTATGAAGATATTGAATAGAACCAGATCCAGAACCGATCCCTGTGAGTCCTCACTTGATATTCCCTGTGAGCTTGACTGTTACCCATTTGATAACTACTCTGAATATGGTTTTCCAACCAGTTGTGCACCCATCTTATAGTAGATTGGTCTAGGTTATATTTTCCTGGTTTGCTTATGAGAAGGTCATGTGCGACAGTATCAGAAGCCTTACTAAAGTCAAGATATATTGCAAGTACTGCGTCCCCCTATCCACGTTTGTTATCCTGTCAAAGAAGGATGTTAGGTTGGTTTGACAGGATTTGTTCTCAGCAAATCCATGTTGACTGTTACTTATTGCCTTATCTTCTAAGTGCTTACAAACTGATTGATTATTTGTTCCTTTTTCTTTCCAATACTGAAGTTAAGATGACTGGTCTATAAATCCCTGGGTTTCCTTATTTCCCTTTTTATAAATAGGTACTATATTTTCCCTTTTCCAGTCCTCTGGGATCTCTCCCATCCTTCACATGTTCTCAAAGATAATCGCTAATGGCTGACAGATCTCTTCCGCCAGTTCTTTAAGCATTCTAGGATGTATTTCACCATGCCCTGCTGACTTGAAGACATCTAACTTGTCTAAGTAATTCTTAACTTGTTCTTTCCCTATATTAGCCTCAGATCCTACCCTATTTACCGTGATGTTCACTGTGTTAGTCATCCGATCACTGCTAAACTGGTGAAAAACTGAAACAAAAAAGTATCCGAGGGGTAGCCGTGTTAGTCTGGCTCTGTAAAAAGCAACAGAGAGTCCTGTGGCACCTTTAAGACTAACAGATGTATTGGAGCATAAGCTTTCGTGGGTGAATGCCCACTTCGTCCGATGCATGTAATGACGATGCATTCACCCACGAAAGCTTATGCTCCAATACATCTGTTAGTCTTAAAGGTGCCACAGGACTCTCTGTTGCTTGAAACAAAAAAGGCATTTAGCATTTCAGTCATAGTTGTGTTTTCTGTTAGTCTTTCCTTCCTCATCGAGTAAAAGGGCTTACTCTGTCCTTTAAAAATGTTTTCTTGCTGCCCTTTATGTCCCTCGCTAGTTTAATCTCATTTTGTGCATTGGCCTTTCTAATTTTGTCCCTGCATTCTTGTGTTCTTCTATATTCATCCTTTGTAATCTGACCTAGTTTCTACTTTTTGTATGATTCTTTTTTGAGTTTTAGGTTGTTGAAGATCTCCTGGGTAAGGCAGGGTGCTCTCTTACCTTATTTCCTATCTTTCTACACATTGGAATAGTTTGCTCTTGTGCCCTTAATAATGTCTCTTTAAAAGACTGCCAACTGTACTGAAATCTTTTTTCACTTAGACTTGCTTCATACATACATGGTATGTAACTATTCTCAGAGTTTGCTAAAGTCTGCCTTCTTGAAGTCAATGGTCTTTATTCTGCTGTTTTCCCTCCTACCATTCCTTAGAATCATGAACTCATCATTTCATGATCACTTTCACACAAGCTGCCTTCCACCTTCAAATGCTCAACTATTTCCTCTCTGTTTGTCAGAATCAAATCTAGAGCAGCCTCTCTCCTAGTTGCTTTCTCCACCTTATGTAATAAAAAGTTGTCTCCAATGCATTTCAAGAACTTGTTGGATAATCTGTACCCTGCTGTATTATTTTCCCAACAGATTTCTGGATAGTTGAAGTCTCGCATCACCACCAAGTCCTATGCTTTGGATGATTTTGTTAGTTGTTTAAAACAAGCCTCATCAACCTTTTCTTCCTGGTGAGGTGGTCTATAGTAGACCCCCTACCATGACATCACCCTTATTTTTTACCCCTTTTATTCATACTCAGAGACTTTCAACAGGTCTGCCTCCCACTTCTATCTCAAGCTCAGTGCATGTGTATACATCTTTGATATACAAGGCAACACCTCCCTTTTCGCCCTGCCTATCCTGAACAAGCTGTACCCTTCTATACTATTATTCCAGTCATATGAATTTTCCTATCAAGTCTCTGTGATGCCAGTTATGTTGTAATTGATTATTCACTAGTATTTCTAGTTTTTCCTGTTCATTCCCCATGCCTTGGATTAGTATACAGACATCTAAGATGTTCATTAGATTTCTCCTCTATTGTCCCTCTTTTCTTTCCTTTGTCCCTGCTCTGATTTCCCATGTTTCTCCCAGATTCTGACCCTTCACCTGTGTCTTCATATTCTGGACTTACATGTAGGCTTTTGTTGAACCTAGTTTAAAGCCCACCTCACGAGATTAGCCAGTCTGTATCCAAAGGTACTCGTCCCCTTCTTTGTTAGGTGGACCGAATTTCTTCTTAGCAGTCCTGCTCAAGGAGATGAAGCCCTCCTGGCGACACCATCCTCTTCTTCGCATGGCTGTGTGGAAAAGGGTTAAGGCTGGGCGAGACATAGGAAGTACATGGGAGAGAGGATTGAGTAGAGAATGGGGTATGAAAGCCAGTTTGAGAGGAAGCATTCACAGAGATATCGATGGTGTGGATCTATGCAAGAGCCTTGAAGGTAAAGACAAGAAACTTGAACTTCCTGTGACAACAAGGGAAGCTAGTGGAGGGCATGATGTGGTCAGAGCAGTAGAATAGTTAGATTTTACCACCTGCTTTGCTCTTAATGGTAAGACTTTTGTATGTTCTCTTGCCCAATTTCTAAGGCCCAATTCCTTTGTTTCCAGGCCAGGGAAGCTCTGCTTTTTCATAACGATGAGTCCATGAATATTTATAAAATAGTATAATTTGTTGGGCTTCAAGGATTGGTATCCTAGCATTTTTGGAAGTGTTTACATGAGATTTCTGAATGAAGCAGTAATGTGTTCCAGGTTAGCTGGTCTACGCATATTCAAGAGGCATGATCCTGCTTACAGAGCATTTGGGGATCCTGAAGAGTTTATGTAAGGTGGAGCCACATAGGGCATCTTCCCCCACAATGGAACCAAAAGATGGATAAGTAAAAATGGAAAATTTTTATGACCCTTTCATAAGCCGACCCTATAATTCAGGGGTCGGCAAACTTTGGCTCCCAGGCCATCAGGATAAGCCGCTGGAGGGCCAAGATGGTTTGTTTACCTCGAGTGTCCGCAGGCACGGAGGTAAACCTAAGTAAACAAATTGTCCCGGTGCGCCAGCTGCATACCCTGACGGGCCGGGACAGCAATTGGTGGGGAATTTTTTTGGGGGGGAGAAGCTGGGGATCAGGGGAGTAACCCCTGTGACCACCCCCCACATGACCCCACCCCGAGGCCAGGACCCCCACACTCTCTCCATCCCATCCCTTCCCACCTTATCTGGGGAGGGCCAGGGGAGGATGTCTCTGGCCTGGCTGGAGCTGCTCCGGTAGACTGGGCAGCACGGCCGCAGCCCGCTGCGGCAGGCCAGACCGGGCGGCACGGCCACAGCATGTTCCAGCGGGCTGGGCCGGGCGGCACGGCCGCAGCGTGCTCCGGCGGGCTGGGCGGCGCGGCCACAGCCTGCTCTGGGTGCGGGGCAGAGCGGCACGGCTGCAGCCCCGAACCTGCAGCTGCTTCGGAGGCTGGGGGGAGAACAGCGTGGCCAGAAGCGGAAAGCCTCTGGCCCCGCCTCTTCCCTTCTGTCTCTGCTGGCTGTGCTACCTCTCTTTGCTCCCTCTGTTGCGGGGAGGGGCTGTGTCCCACCTCTCCCTCTCTATACCCGTTCATAAGCCGACCCCCTTCTCTGGTGCTTCCCTTTTTTACTAAAAAAATTCGGCTTATGAACGAGCATATACGGTAAGCTTTACCCATTTGTGATCTGTACCATTGTGTGAAATGTGCTGTAGAATTGACTGTGCTGTCTCAGTGTGACTGACTACAGCAGACATGGCTAGTGTGGCCCATCTAAAGTCACGCAATGCTGCCTGCAGCCATCCTCATTTACAACACGCAGCATGTAACCTGTAAACTACAAACTCCTAGTGTACTGTGCTCCATCTGATCAGCTCAAGATGCAGTATTCTATGCTATGATCTGTAGTTTTCATTGGTTGTCTCTTTATTCAAGATTGGGGCAGCAGCAAACAGATCCATTTAATGTAAATTAGGAGTGGCCCTCTGGCTTCTGGCTAGTGCAGATGTGACTTTTGATTGAGCAAAATGTGCTACCCAGAGGTAGTGAGTCAGTGGGAGAGGGGCTAATAAACTTCCACCCACCTCCTCACCTCCACTCATCTTTTCCCTACTGTTTGGTTTTAGTCTTGTTTCTTTTGCTGTCATTAACACTTGTGCTGTGAATAGGAAGATATTCTACACCAGTATTTTTCTGATATAGGCCTATTGAAGATACAAGGAGGAGCCTAGCCAATATCTGTCCCCCTCCCATGTCACAGCCCTTTGACTCTTCCATCCTTGCCATGTCATGGAGCAAGAGTCGTAGCACTCCTCTCAGACCCAGGCCTCCTGTATATGGACTGTCGCCAAACCCATTAGGTGTAGGCTGTGGTTCTATTCCCCTCCTGAAGCCCTCCTTACAGGGTTGGCCAGGTTTCAATAGAGGCCCTTTACAAACATCAAAACAAGGGTGCGCTTGGACCCTTCCAAAATTCATGAAAAATGTCAACTTTATTTCCCCACTTCCAGTGAAAGACCCCAGAGAAATGGAACAGGAGGCAGTGGTAACAGGTTTTGCAGTTGATTTCCTGTTTGTTTCAATTGGTGCTGTTTGCACTTGTAGCCATCATTAAACAGTGACCTGCTCTGTCTGTTGTGTAGGCCGTTTTCTGCCTCCTGGTGGTTCTGGCTGAGTCTGACTGGGATCAACCTCGCTGGAGCGATAGGGGTGAAGTTTGTTGGCCTCTTTGTAGTCCTATTGGTTGGACTGAACACAGTTTATGATCTTTGGGAGTTGCTGGGGGACATCAGCCTGTCACTGGTGAGTGTCCAGAATTTTTCTTTATATTTAGTGTTTTTCCCCCTTGTTAACTTCCCTGCTTTTGATATTCATGAAAACAGCTTACTATCAGTTTGTCTGCAGAAGACAGCTGATAGATATTGAAGCCAGATGATGACTGGAATTGAGAGGTATAATGAAAAACCAGTCGTCTCCTGTGTTTTAAAAAAAAAAAAAAACTGTCAGCAGGATATAATGCACCCAGAGGGTGTTCATTGGAGAGACCTCTTGCCTTTTGGGTTGCATGCATTAGATTTCATTCTAGATTAAATGCATATCAAGGATGGCCAGACGATAGCCCATAGTTAGCCATCATCTGGAATTCTACAGTGTGGCCTTCTAAAGAGAAGTGCTTCCTGCTAGATCGGGGGTAGTCAATTATTTGTCAAGGTCCAGATTTCTTGGTCAAGGTCCAGACTCCAGAAAAAATAACAATAATAATGGTAATAAGTAAAAAAAAAAAAAAGATTTCAAGTTCTGTTCAAAAGCGTCTGGAGGTCCAGATTTGGCCCACGGTCTGCCTATTGACTACCCCTGTGCTAGATGTTCCTAATTTGCTGCACTTAATATGCATGCAATGGAGCAGGTTGATGCTGTCTTCATTTGCAATACAAGGATACAGCCTGCACAGACTGCGAGGGCATGTAAAGCTTCATTGGGATCCAGTGGCTTACTTGTAGTGTATACTGTGTGACTTGCAGTCTCTACAGGATACACTGTTGTGTTGAAGATGAAGGCAGCTGTACCCTGCTCCATTTTACACAAATGCAGCGCAGCAGCTTTTAGGCTCTGGGTAACTTGCCAATGCAGTTGTTAAAGGAGGAAAGGTCGGGTGCTCTGGCTTAAAAAATATTGCATACAGTATTTGAGGGCTATGAAATCTGATGTTTGTTTACCTCAGAGATGTTTTCGATATCCCATTTAAGATCGTGCAGAGAGAGAGACTATTCAAGCACATCTTTAAAAAAAAAAAAAAAGTGTTAAATTCTTCTTTTGTCCCAGCCTGTTTTGAAGTTTGAAAATTCTATTTGTTCTGCTTACTGGTTTTGTCCTTTTCTTATTTCATAAACATTGTTTTTTTCTTCTCTGCCTTCCCTGCCTTATGGTTTGTGTTCCCTGATTAATGCGAATCAATATGAGCTGCAATGATGCAACATTCCAGCTCCAGAGAGCGTTTCTTGAGAATAGAGTTAGTTAATTGTATTTGAAATGGAACAAATCCATCATCTCTAAGGTTTCTGTCACAGACAGCTGCAAAGTGATTTCATTTGTGCTGTTGGCAGCAAAAGAGAACCCCTGAGTGGTAGAATATATAAAGAAATTTACCGACTCCAGAAGAGAGAGACTTGCTGAATAATTAACTATTTGGCAACCCTTCGTCAGTTACTCTGAAAAAGAACTAGTAAAAGCCTAAAAGCATGAATAACTTTTCTCCATATTGCCTATGGAACTAGTTTTGGTGTGTTTACATGTCATTTATTTGGAAAAAATTTGATTTCTAGAACCTGCACCTCATCTTGGCCTACTGCTGTTTTGTTCATTGCTCTTTAGTGATGTCATATTTTTCTTCTTTTCTCAATACAAATACAAATAAATAGTAAAAATAGTTATTGTAACAAAAAGAGATTTTGTTAAAAGAGAAGTGTTTTGTGCTGATCCAATCTGGGGATTGGGGACTATATTCCTGAATTTTAATCCCAGCTCAGATGTTGATCGACACTGTGGCTTTGGTTATGTAATTTAAACCAAAATTTTCAGAAGTGGCAGTGATTTTTGGGTGCTCAACTGATGCTTTGGGCTGGATTTTTTCAGAAGTACTGAGCCAACGGCATCTTCTACTCCTGGGAGAATTCTGCGCCAAAAAATTAAAAATTCTGCGCACAATATTTTAAAATTCTGCATATTTTATTTGTCAAAATAACACAATATAATCACTCCAGTTTCAACTGTTCAGGTAATTTATTTCAAAATACCTGTGAATAAGTATGTCAACAATACAGACACCAAAAAAAGATTTCCCCAGGAGTAAAGAGTTAAACAAACATTTACGACAACCCAGTTCCAATTGGGGGGGTGCTGGAGGGGACTGCGTGGGCATCCCCCTAGAGCCCAGACACCTGCGTTCCGCTCCCCTCAGAGTCCGGCCATGGGGCACTCCCAGAGCCCAGACACCCACACTCCCCTCCCACCAGACCCCAGCCGCGGGGCAACCCGCAGCCCAGACACTTGCACTCCTTACCCCCCCAGACTCCAGCTGTGGGGTACCCCCCCAGCCCAGACACCCGCACCCCCCTGTTCCCTCAGAGCACAGCCATAGGGCATTCCCACCCCAGACACCCCATCCCCCCAGTGCCTTTACTCCCCCCAGCTTCTTTACTGTCCCGCCAGGGGACGTGGTGCGGCCCTGCCATTCCTCACCCTTTGCCAGAGCTAGGTCTCCCAGGCCCTCTTCTGTCCCTGGGTTGATGAGGATTAAGCCGGGCAGCCAGAGCATACAGAGCCTCCATCCTCGTTGGGCTGGGTGCTCCGCTAACTGTGAGCTGGGCTCTTCAGAGTATAGCAGCCCTTAGGAGTGGCCAGCAGCTCTGCAGCCCTAGTTCTGCAGGGGAAACATGAAATTCTGTACAGAACATTAATTCTGCACAAATTCTGCTTTGCACAGTGGCGCAGAGTTCCCCCAGGAGTAATATTCCATTGACTTCAGTGGGTGCAGGATCTGGACCACAACGAAACATAGTCAGTGTTTTCCCTATTAGTTTAAAAATAATTTGCCTTGGTGTTAGGAGATGGGAGTTGCTTTACTTATCACTTAGCTATTAAGCTCTTACAAAAACCTAAGATAGATGAAATAGGTAGACACCAATTAAACCTGATTTTGGCAGCCTTAACCTCTATATATCCAATTTCTTAGCAAATTTGGGTAATCAAGTAGCCATTTTTAAACCCACATCTAAGAAAGCCTCAGGATTTCCCCTAAGACTCTCATAAATTGGACCTCCCCCATGCCCTCTCTTTCTCCCTTCACCACATAGCCACAGTTCCTACTCCACAAGCTTCTCCCCACCCTTCATTTATTTTCAAGTCCTGTGCTACCCCAATAAACTATGTAAGCAATATGGGCCTGATTTTTCAAAGGTGTTGATCTTGGGCAGCTCCCATCGACTTCACTTGCAGAAGTGGGTGCTGAGCATTTCTGAAAATAAAAACTATTTTTCCCCATATTTTCAAATGAGGCTACTTTTTGGGGAGCGCATTGGGAGAGTGTGGCTTGGCTTCCACCTTTCCCTCAGCCTTTTTGGGGAAATCTTGCAGCTTGCTAAGGAGCTAGTTGGTCTTGTGTGCCATGGTGGTTTCTATGAATAGTCTCCCACCACAGGGACTCTCCTGGCAGTCGCAATCAGGAGGGTTTCTGCTGCTGCTCTGTTTGATTTGGATTCTGTCTGCAGGTCACACTAGGGAAACACTTGCTGGCTCGTGTATTCTGCCTCATCCTGCTGCCACTCGCGCTCTACACAGCTCAGTTTGCTGTTCACTTTGCAGTGTTAAATAAAAGGTATTTCTCAAGCTTTCCTACTTACTTTCTCCCTCAGCACAGAAAGAAAATCACCTCCCCTTCCCTTTGAATTGAGAGTCACTGTTTATTCTGCCTTTAGTAATTTTAAGGTTTCAGAATCAGAAACACATTTACAAGCCACATCTTAGCCTAGATTCCCGCCCAGACTAAAACATAGTTCTTACAAGGATAGCTCTGTGCACACCAGCCAGCCAAATCATGTTAGTAGTAGTTGGTTCAGCTGGCACAGAGTTCAGAAACTGCTTAAACGTGGTTTCCTGCCCAGTGTAGGTAGATCCAAATAGATTTAATTAAATCAGCTTAATATATTTATTTGTACAGAGACTTAGTAGCTATTTAAGTGGAGACTATAATAGTAACTCTGGCCCCTTCCATCTAAGCATCTTTAAATGTCTTGCAGACGTTAAGTCTCACAGCTCCCCCTCCTCTGCATTATTTGGCATAATTATCCCCTTTATACAGAAGGGGAAAGCGAGGGAAACTGACTCACTCAAGGTCACATAGCAAATCAGCGGCAGAGGTGGGATTAGAACCCTCCTCTGAGTCCCAGCCTAGTATTTTAACCACCCTCCTTCCATTCTGGCCCCAATCAGATTGTGATACAGGGCTCAAATGCCTTTGTTTTTTTCTTATTTGTTCACTTGGTTTCAGTAGTACCCATAATGAGAGCTGACTGGAAGATAACTTTTCTGTTTCATGGTGGCTACTTTCAAATGTTTTGAAATTTGTTTTCATTCTGCATTGAAATAAAAACAAAACATTTCAAATGTTTTCACACAAACAGAAGTTGTGTGTGTTTGAGAAACCAGTCTCGCTCTGTAGCAGGGGTGGCCAAACTTACTGACCTGCCGAGCCACTTACGACAATCTTCAGATGTTCGAGAGCCGGGACGTGCCTCCCAGGGCTCCAGCCCCATGGGGTGCGTCTGCCAGGGCTCAGGGCTTCAGCTCTGAGGGAAGAGGAGTCTTGGGGCTGCAGCCCAGCAGGAGGTACCTTGAGGCTTCAACCCTGCTCTTGCTGAAGCTCTGAGCCCCTCTTCCCTGTTGGGCAAAAGCCCTGAGCTCCTCCCGTCCCAAGTCTGGTAGGTGAAGAATGGGCAGGGCGGGGAGAGAGTATGGGGAGTTTCGCTAGCCACACTTTAACTGTAAAAGAGCTATGTGCAGCTCACGAGCCATGGTTTGGTCACCCCTGCTCTATAGCCTGGTGTTTAGGGTCCTGGCTTGGGATGTGAGAGACCCAGGTTCAAGTCCCTGCTCTGCCTGATTCAGAGCAGATTTTTCATCCCAGATGACTCCAAATCAAGTCCAAAAAGAGACTTTAAACATGGTTCTCTTGCATCCCAGGCTAGTACTCTAATCAAAGTATTCTCTACCTCCACACACCCAGGTTCTGGATCCAAAAACCTTCCTGACAAAAAATGTGCGGAAACTGGTACATCTCCACAAAACACACAGGTTTTGATGAAATAGCTTATTTTGGTGAAATTTCATTTCACCAGAAATGTTCTGACCAGCTCTACTCATAATATGGTAGGTGTCGCCAAAGAAAAGATTGATGCTGTGCATTGGGAATGGGTGTGACAGATTAGTAAGGTTGTCAAGGTGGTGATTGGGCATATGGTGGTAATAGAAGGCTAAGGTAATAGCTATTTAAAAATCAGTAAGATCTATGAATTCTTTCTATTTACTCCTCAGACATGTAGGTATAAGTCAGGTAGTCTCACCACAAGTATCACAGCAGAAGTGGGTCTATAGTAGCAATAGAGGGGATGTGACTTGCCCAAGATGAGATAGTGAGTCGAGGAATGTGCCACTTTCAAAGAAAACTCACTGTTCTTCATACAGAACTAAAAGGATTAACTTTTGTTGGCCATAGAAAAACCTTGAAGCTGTTGAAAATCACCCTTGAGAGTGTATTTGTTGTAGCGAAGTGAGTCAGAGCCCATTGTAAGAGGTAGACGCCTACAAGAGCTGAAGTTTTCTTTCCCCAGCGTTCTGAGGCAGACTAATTGTCTTATCTGTTTCCTTCTTTAAAATGATTTGGTAATGCATATTTCAGTTCTGCACACTTGTTTCCACAGTCTCATGGTCTGCACATTCTTTGCTCTCTCCTAGTGGGCCCGGGGATGGTTTTTTCAGCTCTGCCTTTCAGTCCCGACTGATTGGGAACAATCTTCACAATGTCTCCGTTCCAGAGCGTAAGTGTCCAGTTCCTTGGGGAAGTAAACTCCTCAAACTAACCCTGGCACATAACTATGTCTTTAAAAAACCAAAAGACGTTATTAGCCGGTCAGCAGATTCACCAGCAAGAGTGAGTTTTGCTAGAGATTAGGCTGTGTGTCAGCTCCCTGCCACACCTGTTTGTCTGCGTCACTAGCAAACGCTTCGAGACTCTGCCAGTCTAAATCTTGCCTTGCAGGTAACAATCAATGAATCCCAGTTTGCGAGTTCCCCAGATGTCTCCCTGCAGTGTCCAGTCCCTTTTGCTGTGATACTCACAGAAATTAAGTTCACTGCCTCCAAAGAGACAGTGTACACACTAGCCTGTTGGGTTAGCTGGTGAGTCACGCTTCACTTCAATATGCATCACTGAGATGGCTTTGTAATAGAACAAGAATAAATTTAATGATAAAGAATAGAGATTTAAGTAATACTAAGCAAGAGAAAAAGAGACAGTATAGTTACAAACAAAACAAAATAAAACAGACTTTCTAGTGTCTAAAGCTTAACAGATTACAGTCTTGGTCTCAGGCAATTTCTCACCTATAATCAGTTCCCAGAGACTTCAGCTCACATGGATGAAGGATCTAACTTTCATAGATTCCAAGAGCTCTGGCCTTTTTAGTTCTTTAAGTGATTTATAACTAAAATGTCTTTTTGTTCCCTTATATTACCCTGTAGCAGGGGGCACTCATCTGTTGAGTGCTTCCTGCTACTGGGTGCAGTACTGCAGTCCTTTTCCCACTCCTGGCACCCCCTGTGGGTTGTCAACCTTGCTTGGCGGGTCTTCAATAGCTTGGCCCTCTGGCCAGGTCACACAATCCTAATGAACCCTTCTAGGGTAACAAAAATCCAACCAAGACTGTCTATCTGCTCTCACCAGTGTCTTCAACCCCAGTTCTGGGTCCTTTAAATTCAGCCCTTCGCTTGGGCTTCCAAACAAGCCTTGTCCTCTTCTCAGGGTTTACACCACTTTTTCCGTGGGGGAACCGTGGCCAGCCCACTACTCCAGCTCCCAACCCATGGACCCTATAAACAGCAGCCATGTACTGCTCACTTCAATTCGTTGTTGCTACTTCCCTGGGCCTTTTCCCACCTGGCCCCTTTAATTTCACCTCTTATCTCAGGATTAAAGTTCTCAGGCCTTCTCTCTCCCAGTTTAAGCAAATGCAGCCAATTGAGCTCCTTTGGACTGAGGGTAGCACACTTTCTTGCCCCTTTGGCCCCAGCCAGGAGCTGATCTGCTAAGGCTCTGAAGCTCATTTTATCTGAGCCTGCTAGTCTCAGATTGGCTGCTTCCATACAGCCTCTCTAGGCACGCCTGGAGGACCTACCTTCACTGCTCCTTTTGGAGTATAGTAGGCCAAGGGGGGCACCTGCAGGGATCCACAAAGGCCTGGTGCACACTGGTACGTATTCACAGTCCATTGTCTATGCTTCCAGCCCAGGAAGATTTGCTGGGGGTGCAGACTCTGTCCCCATGTGCTTACTAAGCTCTTTCTTCCTCCGCTTGTTAGCTTGGTTGCTTTGTTTACCTTATGTGTAAATGTACTTTCATTGTCCTCTCCTGTAATCAAGCCAGTCAGACAGCAGAATCCATATTCCTTTGTCTAGGACAGGCTTGATTTATGCACTGCCTCCAAAATACATTTTAAGAGTATATTTCCAGGACATATACCTAATTCTTTGTACCACAACCCATACATGCATCATGCAATGATATTCATGACCAGCATTTCACCAGTTTACATATGATACCTTATATGAAATCTCTTAGACACATATTATTACTCCTGGGTGAATTCTGCGTCACTGTGTGTGTGCAGAATTCATGTCCCCTGCAGATTTCTTTGCTTCCCCACAGAAAATGACAGGGAAGCAAAGGGAAACTGCAAGAGCAGTGACATGCCCCTTCCCAGCAGTGCAGGTGAGTCGTTTCCAGTGCCTGGAAGAGCTGGCGGAGAGGTAAATCATTGTACAGGGGCAGGATTGGGAATGCCCATGGGCATAGTTTGGAGGGGCAGAGGGACAAACAGAGGCACGGTGCCATTGCTCCCCTCCCCCCCCCTTTATTCCCCAATTTCTATGAAAGCAGAGCTGTCTGGGTGAGGGAGGGTGCCCCTCTGGCTCAGTGACTTTGCAGTTGGACCCCACCTCCTGGGTCCTAATGCCGGTTGTCCTCCCCTTCTATGTTCTAGGGACTATAAGGGAGGGTGGTGAAGAGCCACTAAGTGAATTTGATGCTGCCTGGTAGCTGACTATAATTATGCATGAGAAGGAAAATAGGCCTGCCTCAAAAGAAAGAGAAGTGTCTATACCTTGAGTTACTGTACTACAGCTTGACTGTGAGATGATGTTTTACAGAAGAGATCCTTAAGACCTGTTGTCTCCCCTTTCAGACCTGGCCTATGGTTCTGTGATCACAATGAAGAACCTTCGGATGGCAGGGGGGTACCTTCATTCACACTGGCACTTGTACCCCGAGGGTGTGGGGGCTCGTCAGCAGCAGGTCAGTGTGTCACTCTACCACTATCTCTCACTGCTGCCAGCATGCTCTGCTGACTTTGGAGCTTCCAGAAGATTTATATCCTCTAATACAGTGGTCCCCAACCTTTTCCGTGGGGCGGGCGCCAGACGACTAGCCGCCAAGGACTGTGGCCGCCGGACAAGCAGCCGCCGAAATGCCGCTGTGAAGCGGCAGCGTCAAGAGGCATCGCCGCCGAAATGCCACCGAGAAGCAGCGTCATCAAGAGGCGTCTCCGCCGAAATGCCGCCGATAATCAGCGGCATTTCGGCGGTAGCGCTTCTTGACGTTGACGCTTCTCGGCTGCTTGTCCGGCGGCCAGTAGGCGGGCGCATACGGATGCCCTGGCGGGCGCAATGGAACCCGCAGGCACCGCGTTGGGGACCCCTGCTCTAATAAAAGCAGCTGCTCTTTCCCGCTGTCATGTTCTTTTATCACGCTGCTTGGGGAGGTGCAACTCTTTACAGTTCCCCTTTTGAGATTTAGCATGACATTCCTAAAGACCTACTGCACTGAGCATTCGGACATAATAGTGATAGAGGCCACATAAGTATTTATATCCTATGCTGGCCTCTGAGAACCACATGAGAGGGTGGGGATAGGGTGCTTAGCTTTGCCCTTGTTTGGAAATCCTAGCAGTACAGGTGCCTGAATTCATAGCACTCTTACACCAGGACAGGTGGCCTGCGATACTAAAGATGCATTAAAATAAGGAGGTTGTCTTGCATGCCAAGACAACATAAAAAGAAAGAGCAGCTGCCACCTCATGGAAAAGAGTGAAAATCCTTATGTTTAAAACAAATCCACTTCTTGATTTTGAAGGATTTTGAAGGGGGCATCGTGCAGAGGAATGGGAGTCAGGACTTTTGCTTTCTGTTCCCAGCTCTGCCACTGACCTCCTCTGTGATCTTGGAAAGTAACTTTCTCCTTTTGTGCCTCAATTTTCTTATTTCTGTTTTGAGGATAATGATGAAAATGACTGGGGGAGTTTGTGAGGGTTCGTTTATTAGATTAGATTTATATTTCTTTAGATTTATAAACTAACAGTAGTAAGAGGCACCAGTCTGAACTCTGTAGACACCTCTGAAAAATAATTAAAATTATAATAAACCAAAGCGAGAATCAGCAACCCCATAACATATAATACTAGTGAATGAGGCAGCACAAAAATAAAGCAAATTTCCCATTTTCTCTAAGCATCACCCCAGCAATATCTGCTTCCTCAGCAGATTTCCTAAGAAGACATGCTTTGCAATGCATGCATTAGTGTCTGTAAAATGCTTTGAGATCCTCAGATGAAAGATGTTGAGGATAGACAGTTATTTGCTTCATTTTCCTCCATTCTCTATCACTCGGAACAGTTACTTTAGAAATAGGATCTCAGTGTCTGCACCTGCTGCTTATTCCCAATCAGCAATTCTAACCATCCCTTGGTGATATTTACAGTTTGTTGCTGTGGAAGTGATCGAGATGTCAGGCCCAGGATTTCTGATACCAACTGAGGAATATCAGGAAGTTCGTGTTTGCAGAACAGAAGATCTTGTTGTGGAAAGAGCCTCTGAACTAGGACTGAGAGAAGAGATAGAACCATATAGATAGGTCATTAAGTCCATTACTTCTTGTCCTACCTTCATCTGCAGCAAGGGAAATTTAAGTTAGATATTAGGAAAAACTTTCTAACTGTAAAGGTAGTTAAGCACTGGAGTAGGCTTCCAAGGGAGGTTGTAGAATCCCCATCATTGGAGGTTTTAAAGAACAAGTTGGCCACCTTTCAGGGATGGCAAGGACACTTGTCAGGGATGATCTAGGTATACTTGGTCCTGCCTCAGCGCAGGCCTCTGGGCTTGATGACTCTCTTCCAGTCCTACTTTTCTGTGCTTCTATGATATGACTTAGAAGTTATTACCAGGGATGCACAGCACTCGCAGAGCAATAGGGGAAAGACAGACAGAGATGTTGCAGCTACAAGTGACGTGACACACGTGGGTAACACATAACTCCATTAAACAAGTGAAGGATGTGTCTGGGTTAAGCAGTGTCCAAGAGCCAGGACTTTGTACTTCAGGGACAACATCACAAAGTTATCCTGTATTTAATTTTATTGCATCAGCACTGGATGCACTTGGTATTTTTGCCCTGCTGATTGATGGATCTTGTACTTTGGCTAGACCCTGACTTGTTGGTGAAATGAAATGGTTTATCATTATGTTTCCAGGTCACTGCCTATTTACACAAGGACTTGAACAACCTGTGGGTTATAAAGAAACATGATTCCAACACAGGTAAACAGAACTCTAGCAAAGTGGACTGTCTAACTGGTGCTTCTATTTTTTTACTACTATATTCTTGGGATCTCTTCCCAAATAACAAAGGATTATTGGGGGTGAGGGAGATTATCAATCACATCTTCATATTCCTTCAAGACTGTACAGGTGAGATGTCCTAACTTTGCCCAACTGATGGCTGCATGTAACGTGCCAGATGACCAAGGACTGCAATTTATAGGTATAAAATGGGGCAGATTGCAGTTACCATTTTCTTTAATTCATATGTGTGGCCCACAGAGCTTGCGGATCCCAGCATGCAATAGTCCATTGATCTGAGTGGAAGGCTGCTTTGGTAAAAATGGAATATTACACGTTGGGACTGATTGTCTATGCAGACCACATCTTAGAACACAGAAACTGTATGTGAAGCACGCTTGGTATCTAGGGTTTCCTTCCTACACTAGCAGCGCCTTATAAGATTAAAGTTGATTGGCTACTGCTAAAAAAAAAAAAAAAAGAAATCCTTGGTATATACTTAAAGTATATATGTACTGAACATTGAGTGTTGTTTTCTCAGCCTTTCTGATGTACCCAGGGGCAGCCAATCTTTTTATTTTAGGACAGTATCTGCTGTCTGGACGCTTCCATTATATGGTTCCAGGAATAACAGTTGGGACTGGTCCTTGGACTGATTCTAGGGGTTGCACTGAGTCTATGGTCTAGTGACGTGAGTTTGCTGAGTGCATCCCCTGTTTGGCTGGGGATCAGCATTCTGAAACAGTCTCTAAGAGTATTGATTCCTTTTCTAAACCCGGTGCTATTATCTGTTTTTCTGCCAGCAGATCATTTAGATCCTTCCTGCTCTGTGGAGTTTGTGAGGCATGGAGATGTTATTCGGCTGGAGCACAAAGAGTAAGGTGTTTAAGAAATAATAGAAAAATATAAGAGGTTGTATCTCCCAATACATGTTTTCTGGGAGTTGAACAGAATTAGCATTTGCCATAGGATTGGTAAATGGGGATGGTGGTGTGAGATCTGACCTGCCAATGACTAGAATTAGGCTAGCACAAACCTTCAACAAGTCCTTTGGTGCTGTAGACCAGGGGTTCTCAACCTTTTTCTTTCTGACCTCCCCTCAACATGCTATAAAAACTCCCTGGCCCACCTCTGCCACAACAGCTGTTTTTCTGCATATCTAGTAGATTAAAAGCCAGGGACGGCATTAGGGGGTAGCAATCAGGGAAGTTGCCTGGGGCCCAATGCCACAGCGGCCCCGCAAAGCTAAGTTCCTCGGGCTTCGGCTTCAGCCCCGCATCGTGGGGCTTGGGCTTGGGCTTCAGCCCCGCACTGTGGGGCTCGGGCTTCGGCATTCTGTCCTGGGCCCCAGTGAGTCTAATGCTGGCCTTGCTCTCTAGTTTATTTTGGAGGACCCCCTGAAACCTGCTCGCAGCCCCCCAGAGGGCTCTGGACCCCTGGTTGAGAGCCTCTGCTGTAGACTTTTCTCCATATCTCTATTCCCAGCATGGGATTTGTGACATTTCCCTCTGTACAGTCCCATATTTTGAATGGGATCTCTGAGCCAGTGTGTTTTCTTGGGATGAGACCTCTAAACAGCTTCATCACGATGAAGTATTTTTCTTTTTGAGAGAACCATCTGCAGCTCCTGAGAAATCTGTCCAGCTGCATGGTATGCAAAGTTAAGGGCCATTCCACAGCAAGACAGGAATTTCAGACCATTAATTCTATTGTTTGTGCCCAGATCTTTCCTGCTCTTCCAGTTTGTCAAGCAAGATAAGTCCTTAACTTTTGCCTAACATACCAGGAATATGGGGCAAAAAGTACCCTCATTATTGCCTTGTGTACCTGGCATGTCCCTGCTGAAGTTCCAGTCAGACACTGAGACTACAGCCATGAAACTGTTTAAAATGATACGCAGGCTTGTCTTGAGTCCTCCCTCTTCAATGAATGGCAAGGAACCCTGGTGTGCTGGTTTTAAATCTGCATTTCCCCTCCTTTCACTGTGCAACAGAGGAGTTTGCCCTCTCTGAGCATTCATTTCTTTAAATATATAGGACTTCTATTGACCTGCAAATTGTGCTATATTACTCTGTAACCTTCAGTATTGCCTTCCCCAAGCATTCAAAAAGCATTAATCAGACCCCAAAAAATCATGAGATTTTAAAAATAATAAATGTTGGGTGCTTTTTATTGGCCTTTTGGCTTTTGAACCTTGTTGAGGGTCCATGTTTTCAAACTTTTCTCTGCAACCATGAGAGCTAGAAACTTATTTTTTTGTAAGGGAAAGCTGAGATTCTTAAATAATGTGATTCCAGCAGCTGGGGCTTTAAGAAAAACACCAAATATATGAGAGTCATGATAAAATCATGAGTTGGCCACACTAGATCTTGTCAACTCTCACATTCAGAGGCGGGCTGAGGGGCTTACTGGCCACTGCTTCCAGCAGCTCCCATTGGCCTGCAGCGGTGAACCGCGGCCAGTGGGAGCCGCGATCGGCCGGACTTGCGGACGGGGCAAGTAAATAAACCGACCCGGCACACCAGGGGCTTTCCCTACACAAGTGGCGACCCCAGTTTGAGAAACACTGTGCTAGAGGGTGCAGTCTTTTGCATGGAAAATAGAACTAACTATCAAGAGTGGTCAAGACCTCAAAGACCTCATGGCATGTTTTACAAGAACAGGGATGTTAGTCCTAGTGCCCTGGGTAATTGTATTCTTCTTAAAATTCTGCCTCCCAGTAGTTTCATTTTAACTATTCATTTCTATGTCCTAAACTGTAGTGTGGTATAGTCAGTACGCTTTTGAACTCCTCCAGATGTGGTTGACTGTGGCCTGTGAAGTGATTCCTATATGTATATGGTTCAGAAATAAATTTGTAATGCCTGTAAAGTGCAATGGAATCTGTATAAATGAATCTTTATTGGTGACCAAAATGAAAGCTCTTCACACAAACCATTCTCAATGTAAAATTGAAAACTGTGTTTTACTTGTAATTAATTTCAGGACTTCTAGAAATCTTCACAGTCACCAGCATGAGGCCCCCATGACAAGGAAGCACCTTCAGGTCACTGGATACGGAATAGTAAGAATAATTCTTCTTCCACTTGAGGGAGGTTCATCCCAAGACAAGATTTACTCTTTCTTTTAGTTTTTTGTCTCTTAGCCAGTTTCTTATCCATGAGAACACTTACAATGCATTAAAGTACATGGGAGGTTATAATGGAAGTTGGAGCTCATTACACAGGTTAATATATGATGTATGTCGGTGTGTAAGAATTAGAATAGCACATATTAAGATCTTTCCAAAATGTGCACATACAAAGAAACAGCTTTAAACTATCACCACAACCCTAGCTTTGTCAGCACCAGACTCTTTAAATTCTAACTTTAAAGCTGCACTGACAGGTATTATTTTCTGTACACCGCCTTGTGATATAGACAAATGGCTTCTAGGGTCTAAACTGAGCAGTGCTCTGACTTTTGTAAATGAAATCTGCTTTGAGTCTTAAATGCCCGGAGGCAAGAGACTACTCAATAAACCCACTATGCTGCCCAGCCAAACCATCCAGTTTAAAATCCCTTTAAAATGTAACTTCATATCTTGAGAGCCGCATATGAAGTTGAGGCAAAGAATTTTGGAATTGGTGAGGAAAATATGTAGGTAGATAGTAAGCATGGATACATCATGCATTGCTGGTGTCTATAAAATTATCTTCCTGCTGGGGAATCCCTATTGTTACCACTCAGGAGGTTAAGCTGGGTCTGATCCACTCAGTTTTGTCAACACTGTAAAGTTTCAGAAGCTCCTGTTTTCTGTCTCTTGTTCTCCAGTGACACATGCTTTTGGTTTTTTGTTTTTTGTTTTTGGTGATGTGTTTGAATGGTAGAATGGAACAGGAGATGCCAACGATTTTTGGCGGATTGAGGTGGTGGGCAGGAAGGCTGGGAAACGCATTAAAGTCCTACGGAGTCAGATCCGACTGACCCATCTGGCCACAGGATGCATACTTGGGTCCTCTGGGAAGACGCTGCCAAAATGGTAAATAATCTCTGAGCCTCGCTTATGATTCTTCCTGCCAAAAGTCTCATGCTAGCAGCTGATGTTCCTTTTCTTACACAATTGACACCAGATCCCCTTGTTCAGTGGCACTTTTTAATCTGGACTGGAGAATACACACCTTTATATTTTTCCTCTATTCTTAAAAGGAAAGGGGCATCTGAAAAGTAGAAAATCAGAGTGAAATCTTGGATGAGGGTTATGAAATCTACTACAGTGAAGGGGCTAGCAAATGGCACTTCTGGAGAATAAAGTCCTTAACCAAGAGGTCCATCCCAGACATCAGCATGGGGGTGTGCTTCAGCCCTGTTCAAGGGGGGCTAGTGTTAGGCATGAGTGATGAGTTCATTTTCCATAAACCAGTCAATCCTTGGCCTTTGCAAAAAAATTGCCAGCATGGGAGACCGTTGTACTGAGAATGGTTGCAACGTAGACCCTTGGAAACTGTGACTCTTACATCACCAGCTCATTTAGGTGTAGGAGCCACCAGTGACCTAAAGGTTGTCCCATTCCACAATCCTCTGAACTATCCAAATCCCTTGCTGTTATATTTATATCGGTTCCTATTCATTTTTTTAATGGGAAGATCTGGACCACAAGAGTGTCCCACACCCTTCTCTCCTATGTGTGAGCACAGATCTGGAGTATGAGAGCAGATGCAACTAGTGGCTCTGGAAGAGGAAAGATTTTTATTTGTTCCAGGTCTCTGTAAATGCCCATGCACACTGATAGTGCTCTCACTGATGGTCGGTGATTGAATAGCCTGAGGCATTACAGTCATCAAGACTGTTCCTGTAGGCCAGTCTCCTGGGAGGTAGCATGTAGAATAAGGCTGATATAAAAAATGGATCCCAGAGTTTGAACTCATTGTTTCAGAATGGACTGATTGCCTCTGGCATCAGTATTCAAATAAAAAGGAAATATTTTTTTACACAACACAAACTTAGCATGTGGAGCTAATTGTCACAACATTAAAGCCAACTGCAACTGCATAGCAAAAATACAACATTAAGACAACATTAAAGCCAACTGCATAGCAAAAAGTTTAGACATTTGTATGGATTATGGGACCATCAGCAATTAAGTTGTGATTTTTTTTAAATTGCAAGGGATGTAAAGCTCATGCTTCAGGAAGTAAGCCACCTGTAACAGAGTGAGGATAGGAAGAAACTTCTCCTATAGGTAGGGTGACCAGACGTCACGTTTTTAAAGGGACAGTCCAGTATTTAAGCCTTCCTGCAAGTGTCCCAACTGTTTCTTAAAAACGGAAAATTGTCCCATATTTCCTCCCCCTCCCCCGCATCAGTCCTGGTCGGATCCCTGCTTGCCAGCCACTTGCTCACCAGTGGTGGGGGGGATGGCGGGCTGGTCAAGTGGCCGACGGTGGGTGGGGGTGTGTGCAAGGCCTGGTGGCGGGGCAAAGATGCAGCATGCAGGGCTGGCTGCTCCTCCTGCTGGTCCTTCAGCACAGCCCCTGCTGCATGCTGGCTCTTAGCCAGCAGGGCCCCGCTCTCCGTCCCGTTTCTGGCTGGCACTGACTGTATGCTGCGAGCTGCAGTGGTTGGTGAGTGTGGGCAGGCACCAGCGGCAGCCGGTTACTTGTCGCCTCTGCTGCCCGCTCATTGCCCTTTACATGCTTCTCCTCTTGCTGTCCTCTCCCTGCTTTTCCCCTTCACCCTCCCCCTCCCCAACCCTGCTGCTCTTCCATATCCCTCCCAGCGGGGCACTCCCAGCACTGTGCAGAGAACCAGCTCCTGGTTGGAGTGCTCAGCTCATCAACAGCCTGGCCAGCAGGCTTCTTCCTTCCCCCACTGCCTCTGGCTGGGCTGGCGCCCCGGGAAACCCCAAGACCCTCCGTTCCGAGGCGCTGGCCAAGAGAAGCTGAGCCCTGCATGTGCCAAAGCCCCGCACAGCACTGGCATGGGGAAGCCTCTCCGCCCCTCAGCTAAGCTCTGGAGTGCGCCACAGCAGCTCCCGGGGCAAGGGCTTAGCACCCTCTTCGCCTGCCCCCCTCAGCCCGGGTCCTGCTCCCAGGGAATGTGGGGCTGCTCCATCCCCTAGGCACCCTCCTCTGCTGAGCCACCTCTCTGGTGGAGTTTGCTGAAGTCCCTGCAGTTCGGTTCCTTGGGCCCTGGTGCACAATGCATCCTTAGGGCTTAACCCCTTCCTGCCTGCGCTGTAGCCAGGGGATAGGAGGCGGCTGAGTTATGTCGGCGGCCAGCAGCAGTCTGGAGATGTTAGCTGCCTTTTGACGCTGTGCTGGCAGGAAGGGACAAGCTACTTCCAGCCACACAGGAGCGGTAGGGGTGGGGAAAGAGATGAGCTCTGCAAAGACACAGGTCAGGTCATCCCTTCCCCCCTTCCTCCTCCCCTGTGGCTGGAAGCAGCTGCTGTCCCTTCCCTCCCACACAGTGCCGAAAGGCTGCTGCTGGCCACATTCTGGTGTGAACCCTGGCAGAAATCTGGGGAGAGGGCGCATGTGACCCTGCATGCCCCCGACGTGTTGCCTTGGGAAGACATGGTGCCAGGTACCAGGAGAACGGGTCTGTCCCGGGGCCTCAGCCAGGCCTGGAGGGTGGAGAGCACCAGGCAGGGGAGGGTCTGGTCGGTCGGTCACCCTCCCTGTGTGAGAGAAGTGTATGGGAGTGTGTGTGTTACCCCTCCCCGTGTGTGTGCGTGGGGGGGTGGGCGGTGTGTGACACCTCTCCCCGTGTGAACCCTAAAGCCTTAAAGATAAGAAAGTAAATAAAAATAATCCAACTACGCAGTATTTCTTTTTAACGGGCTCAGTCAACTTGATGTTAATTTGAACATTTATACAATTGATTGCTGTTGAACTCGCTTGAATACGAGTAATTTTACCAGGTGTCCCGTATTCAGCATAGGGAAATATGGTCACCCTACCTATAGGGAGGTTGTTCTGTAGTTTCCCACTTAAGGGTCTCATATTTTTCTGAGCATCTAGTACTGGCTGTTTTGGAGACAGTATAATTGACTAAATGAACGATTGGTCTGATCCACTATGGCAATTCCTTTGTTTCTATAATGGAGTTGCTTTAGGTATGAATTGACTTTTAAAGTAATGGTGACTGCTTTTCCTGGGGAGAATCTAAAAGTTGACTTAAAGTTGATGGGAGCTACAGATGCTCAGCTTCTCTGAAAATTAAGCCACATATTTATGTACCTAAATATGGATTTCGGTACCTAATTTGAGGAACCCTAATATGGAAGTGTTGCTCTTCATATATACAGCAGTCTTGTGACCTTAGACACTTCTCAAATCCAGTCCAGTTTCTGTTTATACTCTGATAAGGGAGGACTTCTGGGTACACAGAAATGAATCTGTTAGGTTGGATGCTGCAGTTGGTGCTAATTGATAGCTGAACTTGGGCAAGGAATGTCAATTTGAATGAAAAATTGAATTGTAAATAGTGGTTCTCTTTCGGGAGGTAGGTGACTGACTGTCCTGCTGTTCCTCAGGGGCTGGGAACAGGTGGAAGTCACCTGCACTCCATATGTGAAGGAGACTCCCAATGCCCTTTGGAATGTTGAAGATCACATCAACCCCAAGTGTAAGTGATGAAATCTCTTGGACAATATGCACGTTGGCTTGTTTGTTTTCAAGCGGGGAGAGTGAGGTCAGAGCAAAGCACTCAATGTTTGGGATCCCTGGGTTCTGTTCCCAGCTCTGGTACTGACCTGTTGCATGATCTTGGGCCAGTCACTCTGCCTCCATTTCTGTATTGTAAAATGGGGGGATGGTGAGATATGGTGTTTATAAACTACTTTGAGATCCTCAGGACCTGCAGAAGGGTGAAGTATTATAGAAGAGCTGGTCACAACTTGATAGTTAAAGTTGTAACTGATAATATATGGAGATATACCTATCTCACAGAGCTGGAAGGGACCTTGAAAGGTCATCGAGTCCAGCCCCCTGCCTTCACTAGCAGGACCAAGTACTGATTTTGCCCCAGATCCCCAAGTGGCCCTCTCAAGGATTGAACTCCCAATCCTAGGTTTAGCAGGCCAATGCTCAAACCACTGAGCTATCCCTCCCCCAACTATGTTCACTATGAGACTTATTTTAAGCCACCCTTACAGCTTTTTAAGTGAAGGAGCTATTCTGAATGCAAGTGTATAGTAGAAGTTTTTAGATGATTTTTCGGAAGTGTAGGATCTTCACTGCCCTATTCCATACTTGCCTCATTCTCTTTTCCAGGAACATTCCAGTAATGAGGTTGCTAGAATTGTGACATGGGGTAAGAATAGAGTTGAGAATGCCAGTTGTGACATACAGCCTCTCCAGCACAATCCAAAAGTTAGACCTGTGTCACAGCCTTATTCACTGTCTGCTTGGTTTACGTGTTACTCAACACCCTGATTTTTATCACACAACTTGCTTGATTCTGACCTCGTTAAAACCCGCTAACATTTTGCAGCCTTTCAGAAGTACTATATTCAACCCAAGAGAAATAAATTCTGAGCTGTTCATTTGGTCTGGAGTCTTCTCCCATTGTCATGCATTTTGCATTCTCCCACTCATGGCTGATCTGTGGATAAAGAATAGTCTATGAACAGTGAGACTCTTATTTCTGCTTAAACACAGAGACTATTTATTTCAGGGAGTTTTATCTGTTTCTCACGCTTCTGAAAGTACAGTGGGAAATCAAAGAGTAGATCAGTTGTGAAATTCACTTGGGGATACTTTCTTGACTGCAAGAGGTTGTGTTTAGAATATGAATGAAATGCAGTGAGAGCCAAGGAGGTACCAGAAGAAGGTTACTCGCAGATTTGATACAGGAGGAGAGGGTTTATTGTGTGTGTATGTATTAAAGGAAGGTAGCATGGACAGGCTTCTAATTCACCTGTTTTCTTTTCCATAGTGCCTAATATCAGTCTGGATGTTCTGAAACCCTCCTTCCCAGAGATTCTCCTGGAGTCCCACATGGTTATGATCCGGGTAGGGTCGCTTTATTTTAGATTGTCATGTGTGTGTTTGTTTTTTAACTCTTGAGCTAAAAAGAAACATTCTGTACTATGATGTCCAGGGAATAGCAGCAGTCAAGATAGGACAGAATATATATTGGCATAGGTTACAAGGATTTATACTTAGAGAAGAAGGATGGCCTTATGATTGAAGTTCTAAAATGGTACTTGGAAGATCTAGGTTCAGTTTCTGGCTGTTCCATAGACTTTGTGTGACCTTGGGCAAGTCACTTAATCTCTCTGTGTCTTATGTTCTCTTCTGTAAGACAGGGATATTCGTACTTCCCTACCTCACGGGACGGTTGTAAAGATAAGTTCATTAATGCTCATGAGGCACTCAGTACAGTGATGGGGGCCATAAAAGTATGTGGATAAACACTTGGGGATACATTAACATCTGATGGAAAAATTTAAAAAGACAAAAACCCATTGTTTCAAAAACTCTTCCATGTTCTGTTTTCTGCTTTCCTCTTCCCTCATTCTTTGTCACTGAGGATGTTTGCAAAAAAGCAGATTTGTTTCTCTTCAGAGTTTGACTGCTCTTGTAGTCTTCTCACCTGAGACAGTTTTGTATGACCTTGTCTCTTCTCCTTTCTGTGCCTTAGTTTCTCCATCTGTAAAATGGGGATGATACTGACCTTACAAAAGATTCTGAGGCTAATGTGTTGTTTGTAAAGCTCTTTTGAAATGAAAGGGGCTCTAGGAATGCTCAGTAACATTATTAATACTAATCATTTCCATGGCAACCAGTTATAATATTGCTTTAGGTAAGGAAATATCAACATAACTGTTTCCATAGAAATAATTTTCTTGTCTCGAAATGAGGACTCTTATTTCAGACTGAAGGAAAACCTATAGGAGTAGCTGAGCTGTTAAATAGCTACGATCCTGCTTCTTCCACACATATTCTCAGCAATAAAGAACCGGAAAAGAAAAATGTAGAGAATACTTGGTCTTGGTAGTAACCTGGGAAACATTCACATTTGTGTAGTAATTTTAAGCTATGGGTGTCCTCTAGGATGCAGCTACTAGAGGGTGACATGATCATGCTCTTTGATGGACGCTCCATCTAGCAAAAAGCATTGATGATGACCAACATTCACTGGGGGAGCACATGTGTATATATTCATGCACAAATCTATGTACACAAAGTATTGGGTGGCATAGGGAGAAACGCCTATAGTTAAGCGACACTTTCTATTATAAGACTTTTTTCAGTTGGCAAACTTTAACTGAAATTTTCCATGCCAGCTGTCTGCCTTAGGTGGAATTTTACTGAAAGATTTCAGCAAAAGTAATTCAGGCATTTCTCAGAGGTTTGAGGGAAAAAATACTTGTTTTTCCCATATTGCCAAAAAACAACAACCCAAACACCCACCCTTAAAACCATTTAATTGAGAAGCAAATATTGTCTCCACCACTTGGAGCAGCGACTTGAAATTTAGTAGGGGGTTTGTTGTCCTGGTGTCCAGGATATGTCTGTTGCTGTCCCCATGAAAATCACATCATGGGGAGGTGGTCTGAGCAGGACTTTCCCTGCAGTTGCTCCTCCTGGTTGCCAGGGGCTGCTGTGGCACTAGATATCAGTACTGGGAGCAGGTAGACTCTTTCTCCTGTGCTCTCAGTGCTCTCTCTGCTGGTGCCCAGCTGACCCAGGCAACAGGGAGGAGAAAATAACCTGACTGATCTGCAGATGGGTGATGATCCAGGCCTGTGGGGGGTTGTGGGGAGGGAGACTGAGACGGGTTCAGGGAGTAGCAGGAAGACTGGGGTGAACAGCAATGGGATGATAGGAACTGGGATGAGCAGCTGTGAGCTGTGGGGTGAGGTTATGAGACATGGAGCTGAGAGGAGGCAGAGCAGGGGGAATGGAATGGGTCAAAGCAGGCAGTGGGGAGACTGAGATGAGGACAGACTGGAGGGGTCAGAGGCAGAAGGGGTTAGGCTTGGCAGGAGCAGATACAGAATGGTTCTTAACCACTAGATTCCACTCCCTTCAGATCCTGCAATGGAACCCAGGGTTCCTGAGTCTCAGTATTCCTCTGCTGCCAGCAATAGATGTAAACCCACTGGCAAAATGTGTGACTCAACTCCCTCTAGTGGCCAGCCTCAGGGACAGGAGTCCTGTGAAAAAAATATTATGGGATCATGTAATTAAAGACATTATTGTAATGCATATGCACAAGAGGGCTGAATTAAGGTTACATAGGCAACCTTAATTCTTTCATTTCCTAACTTTTGAGTGCTTGCCTGTGTACTATTCTCTTAGTGTAGTTTTCTATGTGTACTTTTTTATAGAAACTATGAAAGGAGAATTGTTTGAAAACTGATTAAATACTTTGGACCAAATTTTCAAATCACAGCCTCTGATACTCCATGTCCAGGTTTTCATTTCCGAGGTTCTGTACGCTTGGCTGTGTGCATGCAGTTTAGGGCATTAAATAGCCATTTTGCTGGTACAAATAATCAGGCATGGAAAGTTGCTTGCATACTTTTAGAGGATGCAGACTCTGAATCTAATCCTTTATTTACCATCAGGTGTTAGCTGCTTCACAGGTCACTGCTTCATGTAAATCTTGGGCCAGGTTTAGTGCTGGCAGTTATTGTGAAGCTCCTTGCCCAGCTCCTTCTCTCTCTAGATGTTATAGAGCCTAATGCTTGGTTTATATCTGGAGTTTAGTGGGAAGGTCTCAGATTCAAAACAGTATACTTTACCTGCGTTCTGAAAATGGTGGGCTTACTTCCTGTTGTTTAACAGCCTTAGAGCAGAGTTGTTGTCTTTCCAGTGTCTGTACAATTGGTGCAATTAGAGGGAGAGGCTTCCAGATACACAGCAATATATATGGAATGGGGACCTAAACTTGGTCTCTGATTGTGATTTGCAGGTCAGCCTGGCATCTATCTATCTTACTGGTGCATGAAGCAGTCCCCAGGAAATTTTTTGCCATCACTGCATGCTGCTGTAATGAGAGAACAGAGTAAGGAAAGGGATGTGACTTACAATAAAGTGAAATAGTTGTGGGGATTTCCAGGAGCTAATCTCCTGCAAAGTAATGGGGTAGTAGGAGCACTAGCAAAACCTGACATTCAAATCTAGGTGCTCCTGAAAGGGCTTAACCTTCCTAGGGCATTTGCTTATGCATACCTGTGAACATATCAGAAACAGGGTTATTCTTCCTATGCCCCTGAAACCCTGTCTAGACAGAGAGCTGCCATGCAGGACTTGTAGCACAACTGCCTATTGACTGTAATTTTCTTCTCAATCTCCTATAGGGAAACAGTGGCCTCAAACCAAAGGAGAATGAAGTCACATCCAAGCCTTGGCACTGGCCCGTCAACTACCAGGTATGCTGACAAATCCACCTTCCTGTCTGATTGCAAGTGCTTTTGATAGGGGTATGGCACCCAAACTGTAGAGCTGTGGGACTGCATCTCTTTATTAAAATGCATGACTACATTTCAGCCGCTGCTGAAATAACCTTTTTGTTGGCAAGAGAAGGAACTTATCTCACCTTTCTCACTGCTGACTCTCTGTGGAAGCCTCAGTGAGTTTGAAGGTTGATGTGGGCTCACTAGGCACAAACCTATTTTAATTTCCTCTGATACCCTTTCCCTGTTCCTCCTCAGGGCCTGCGTTTCTCTGGAGTCAACGAAACAGATTATCGAGTTTATTTGCTGGGGAACCCGGTAAGTGGGGGATTTGCAAAACAAGTGACTTCTGCCTTTAGCAAATATTTAGTTTTCTCCTGGCTTTCCCAGAGACAGTGGCTCCCTGCCTTTCTCTTCTCTAGCTGCTTTCTTCCCCTTCTCTTCTATGGTTTCACTTAGCTTTCCATCATGTCTTATGCACACTCTGCTACTTCTATCTCCTCCTTTCCTCTTTCCCACACAGGTGGTCTGGTGGCTGAATCTGGTCACTATTGGATTGTACCTTCTAATGGCAACTTGCGCTATTGTGGCCATGAAGAGGGGAGTTCAGCTGACAGCTGAATTCAAAGGTAAGTCCAGCTCTCCTACCCTATTGCATTTGTAGGCTTCACTGTTGTGACCGTTTATCATCCTGGTTTCCTGCTGCAGGAAAGCTGATTCTCTCTCTGCTATGGAACATCAGACCACTCAGAAATTGAACAAAATGTGTTCAAGAGGAACATGACAGCAATGAGTACAAGTATTTAAAATGTATAGTGCTATAGAAATGCTAAATCTTATACCTGGAAGGATGTAAATGCCAAGGAAGGGGAGAGGAATTAACAGTTTTTTCAGGCTGTAAAGGACCATTATGAAAATCTTTTCTGACCTGCATAACACAGGGTACCAGATTTCACTTGGAGATCTCATCTAGCCCAACAAATTTAAATTGAATTAAAGCATATCTTTTAAAAAGACATCAGCCTTGATTTAAAGTCTGTTTTTAAGAATTGTTCATATAAGTCCAAGGGGTTGTAACTAAGAGGAGTGGGATGAAATGAAAAACCAGGTAAATTTAGGTAAAATATCTGGAAAATCATCCCAACACTGAGATATACAAAACTATGGAACAGTCTTTCCAGGAAAAATGCAGGAAGCCCCATTCCTCGAGTCATATAAAACTGGACTGGACAATGCTCTAGTAAAAATCCTGTAGGGAGCAATCCTACATTTGCTCAAAGGGGGATGGTCTATTGGATCCCTCTCTGGTTCATGACTGTGTGATATGTGCTGTATTAATATTACACATCTGTCTTGAAAGGAGAAATGCTGCGTAGTGCCCATTAGGGAGCTGACAGAGAGAGGGTACTAGGAGGAGGATATTAACAGCCCTTTCTCCTTCCTTAGCCTCTTCCATCCACAGGTTACAAAGCACTTCACAAACCCTAAGGAATCCAGTCTCACAATATCCCTCTGACATAGATCAGTGTTTCCCCTATTTTACAGATAATTGGGTAGGAAATGAGGTACAGAAAGGTGAAGTGATTTTTAGCTAAGGTCACTGAGGTTACGTCTACATGGTGATAAAAGACCCGTGGCAGGCATAGATCAGCTCAGGGGTTATAAAATTGCAATGTAAACCTCCTGGAGCCCAGGCTCTGACACTCTGTGAGTGAGGAGGGTCCAAGATCCAGCCTGAGCCCAAATGTCTACACTGCAATTTTTAGCCCTACAGCCTGAGTCCTGAAAGCCCAAGTCAGCTGGCTTGGGCTCGGAGACTCGGTACTTCATCGCAGTGTAGACATACCTATAGTGAGTTATTGACTGAGCTGGAAATAGGATCCAGGTCTCCTGCTCCTGTTCCCCTGGTTCTAAATACTAGACCACATTCCTTTCCAGGGAATGGGCTGACAGTGAGGATCAGGGATGGCTGTCAAGCTACTCCAGAGAGAATCCTAGAAATCAGAGATTGAAAAGACCTGTTAAGCCTCATCTAGTCCATTGTCCTGTGCCACTGCAGGATTAGTCCTTACAGGACCCCATGTTAGCAAGACCAGCCAGGTCTGTGACCAGGTCTTCTGCAGGTCCATCTTGTATGGCTTTTCCAGTATCTGTTCATTGAGGAAGACGCTATTGGTAGGTATTTCTGTGTGATACATTTTCTGCATGAATAATGCAGGTGGGATATTGTGGGTAACCTTGTGTTACCTGCACAATCTGGGGCACCCTGCCTATACCCTACTGAGAGCTCAAGGCATCACCCAGTCAATTTAGGCACTCCCACCCTTTCCCTTCCAAGGGTTCGGGGCATAAGGCACCTACTCTTACCCATGCGACTCAGGGAGAAACCTGGTCAGTTTAAGTACCCGCCTTTATTCACGGGGCCAAGGACTCTACGGGTCTGCAGGATCTTTTCCCAGCGAAAGAGCCTTACCCAACTGTGCTCTAAACATCTATTTATTAGCAAGACCCAGAGAATACATATACTAAGTAAATCTATTATGCTCACCACTCCCAATATATAGACAAATTTCACCTGGTGGCCAGTCATGATCCACTCGTCTGGGGGTTGCCAGCGATGCCTCTGCATGTCACAGTCATGCAGAGGGTTTGATGTCTTGCAGCTTCTTGTACTGCAGAACAGAGTTGATTCCCAAAGAGTATTGATTTTCATTTACATTATATAGGTAAAACTAACTATCTCCTTCAAATTTAATAAGCCTATCACATTATCCCACACCCCCACATAACAAAAATTGTAACCAATTACACACTGGCCCCTATGTATCCTCCTTCCTGTCCAAGTTTTTTACATTTTAATCTTTCATGTCCAAATTGTAACTTATTTGTGACCTTTTCTGTTTGTGCAGGTGGTCAGCATAAATTTGTGGGTCAGAACTTATCTTATACCATTTGTTGAGTCTCTCTCTGTACCTAAAACTTTCCAGTGCCTGGGTGTCTCTGCTTTACAACCATGGTGGTTATAACTCTTGTTAGGGACATTCCAGAGGTGGGGGTGCTTTATCAGCAGCAGATCATTCTTTTTTTTTTTTTTTTCCAATTTTAGTGATGATCTCCCTGAGTTTCACCCAAGGCTGGTTTAATATGGGGAGGAGTGCGGGGTTTGATTAGATCATAGAATATCAGGGTTGGAAGGGACCTCAGGAGGTCATCTAGTCCAACCCCCTGCTCAAATCAGGACCAATCCCCAACTAACTCAGACAGATTTTTGCCCTAGATCCCTAAATGGCCCCCTCAAGGATTGAACTCACAACCCTGCTAAACCCAATGCTCAAACCACTGAGCTATCCCTCCTCCCAACACTTGGAACGTAGACCTGCTAAGCCTGTTCCTGCCAATCTTACTGGTGTTCACACTCTGCCTCCTTGGTGTTGAGGTTTGAAAGGGTAGCCAGGGTTGTGAAGTTTCATCTACTGAAGTGTGTGTTTGTATTTCAGAGCTCTCTGAAGTCTTGCTACATAGTGGAGGGAAGATCATGCTGGGCTGGCTCCTCCATTACCTCCCTTTCTTCATGATGGGCAGAGTCCTCTACTTTCATCATTACTTTCCTGCCATGCTTTTCTCTAGCATGTTGACAGGTAAATACTGCAAAGCAGAGACCTTGAAGGTAGAGGGGAATAGGAGGCGAGCTGAGTTGGAAGGGGTATTTTTAAAGTGACATAACTAAGAAATCGATTTCTTTTTTCTTTCGGCTCTCTGGTTCAGGGCTAGTGCTTGGAAATGTGTACTGGTTCAAAAGTGTTTTTAGTCCTAGCCGCTTAAGACAGCGAACCCTATACAATTGTCATTTGGATTACCATCTTGATTTGACCTCAGAGAGGCTGCGGCGCTAGTTGATAGGGCATTGGACTGGGATTTAGGAGACCTGGCTTCTTTTCCCTGCTTTGCCACTTTCTTGCTATGTGACTTGGGTGAGTCATTTCACCTCTCCTTGACTCTGTTAGCTCCCTATCTGTTCTGTATCTTGTCTGTTTAGAGTACTTCAGGATAGGGACTGTCTCTTACTATGTTTTTGTATAGTGCTTTGTAATGGGGCCTTGATCTCAGTTGGGACCTCTAGATACTACTGTAATACAAACGGTATATTAAAATAATCCATTTCAATTCCAACATGATTTTTAGCAGTCACTGTCTTCAGACCACTAAGAAATAAAGTTTTATGGCTCTGTAAACTGGAAGGCCCTGTTCTCAAATGGTATAAAGCATTAATCTCTGACCCTGGTAGTACATGAGCCTTCAGCTACTAAAATCATGTTGCACTTGAAATGGAGGAGACAGAAGAAGCAAGATAGTAACTGGAATTATGTAATTTTGTGGTCTGATACCTCTAGCAGTCAGGACTAATCTAAAGTATTTTATTCCAGTGGGAATGTTGGGAAAACCAAATTTCTACTGATAGAAAGCTTCACTTCTTGTGCTAAGGGTTGATAAGAGATCAGACTTTAAAAACAGAATTGGTCCTTTGTTCATATAGAGCTTTATCAGCATTTGTTTGTGACTGAGTGTAGCAAATATAGCCTGCCTCTCTCTCCTGGCTTCCGACATGGTGCCTCTAGTTATGAATTTTATTTCTTTCTCCTAGGAATTACATGGGACACGTTGCTGAAGTTCTGTGCTGGGCGCTTGTCCTGCTCCATGGGGAGGAGGGTGTATACATATGGGACGCTGGCACTAATGTTGCTCATTGTGTACAGGTGAGAGAGCCAGAAGCTGAGCTGCTCCTGCATGTAAAACAACATCTGTTGTCTCAGTGGAAGTGTTGGCTCCTTGACACATGTTGTTTTTAACTTTTCACTCTCCCAACTCCTTTCCCCTTTTTTTCCTCTGTTAAACTCTCGGATAGCAACAAACTCAGCCCTGAACCCTTCATATGAACCAGATTCAGCTTTGACAGCTTTTGTCCATCTCCTGGTAATGACTTTGCAGAAACCTTTTCATTACAGGGAGTCTCTTTGTTTAACCCCGGAGCTCAGTGGGTACAAATGCTGTCAGCTGGACTGACTCCCTTCTTCCCCACAGCTTAGCAGATACAGACTCTGATCCCCATCCGTCATGGTGCCAGACCATCAGTCTATGCTATACTTTAAAAATGTATTGATTAAACATGTTTATAGGCTTCCCAATCCCACCCCACCCATGGTAAGGCCATGTACCTGGCTGTATTAATGTTGTTGAGCGGGAGGGAGAGAGCCCCAAATGGAATCTAAAGCAGCCCAAATGGAAAGCTCCCATAGGTCATCCACATGACTCAGCTGTTTCTGTGACCTTAGTTTTGAGCACTGTGCAGTTAATCAAAACTTGACAGGTGTTTTGATCCTCTCCGCAGCTTCTACCTCTTCCATCCTCTGTCCTATGGGATGGTGGGACCTATGGCTTCAGATCCCAACAGCCCAATGGCAGGGCTCAGGTGGCTGGAATCATGGGAGTTCTAGAGCCAGCGGCAGGAGGCAGCCTGGAACAAGGGAATAAGAAACACAAGAAGTATCAAGTGTCAAGCTGACTCTTGGGCACTTTGAGTCAAATTGCTGTGAAGCACCACTCTGGAGAACTTCGGAGAATCTGCTCCCCATAGTAGCCCATTGTCTCATCACTGGTTTGCACAGTCTGAGTCTTGGCAGAGGATGACCACAAGAAAGACCCTCTGAGTAAGACTCCAGCCATAGGTCCAGTAGATTCTATTTCCGAGGCCAGATACTGCTCAGAAAGAAGACCTGGGTCCTCCGAGCAATGTGTCTTAGAATTTTTGCAGTCATACTTTGGCCTTGCTTTGGCCTGTCTAGCAGCCACACTGGTGTGATTTGGAGGAGTATGTGTTTATATCTGTTGGAGGGTGAGGTTGCACACGTCTGTCTTTGTCTCTGTTCATATGAAAATCACTTGATTGCAGGAAAGAACTGACTGTAGAAAGCACAGTGTCCTGAGACATTAAGGATCTTTTCATATTTAATAACTTTTATTAGTGGTGTTTTATATATATTTTGGAGAATGTCTGGGAACCGCCCTGTCCTAGCCATTTGCATTTCACTGATCTGATGCTGTGTTTCTAGTACCTGGCCGAACTGAAAGTCTCTCAGTGGCTTGAACCCTCCATAAGCCATTGTGCCTTGCCTGTCTCCCAGGCCCTTTGCAAACAGAAGGATTGTTTATCCTTGCATATCCCCTTGCTTTCAGGCCACCTGTAACCACTTATAATAATCACTGTGTAGCTACCTGGCAAACCTCATGACAGCTCAGAGCCAGACAGTTCCAGTTCATCAGTCTTGCAATTCTGCCACAAGCTGCTAAGACGCTCCAAAGATAATTACAGTGAGAGCAGCAAGTTTCTTTTATTGCTTGTCTTGGGTTCTTTGATGGAAGGGCCAGCCTCTTTGGGGATGCACAGATAGGGAACCCTTGCTGACAGCTGTCATTCATCCTTTGATACCAGCAGTTCTACTGCCAGTAACTCTGCGTTGTGTGAGGAAGCTAAGACTTAGCAGTCACTGGAATCTGCAAAGCCTGCTGCTAGTTCTGGGGTATTTAACCACTAATATTCCTCTGCTGAAGGCAGGTTTCTTCTAATGGGAAACTGCACTTCTTGTTACTATGATAAACTGCCAGGCAAATGAGAAGCGGGGAGTGGAGGGAGAGAGAGAAAGCAGAACAAAAACTCTTTGCTTGTCTGGTGAAGAGAGCTCTCTGATGCTGAATCCATCCCTTCCCAGGCAGTGGGGGTGGGTGGGAAGGGACCTGGTCCTCAAACAGGTGTGGGGAAGCTTTTTAATGAGGTATCTATTCCTTTCTTCCTTCCTCCAAATGTTCCTTTTGTTCCACTTCTTTCCCCTAAGTTCACTACTACTGTCCTGTAGCATCCAAAACAAACTGCCTTGAGTCCCAGCTGTGTGTGTCCTTTGAGGGAGCAAGGTTTGCGAGGCAATTTTGCATATGTATCAAGACGATCAAGCCCTTCATTTCAGATTCCCTGCTTTGCCTCTCAACCCTGCTCCTGAATATGTATTGGGTGAGTATCAGTAACAGGTGAGTGTGTCTGAGTTTTAAAGATGAGTTCTGCTATACTCCCTCTCCACTCTCCATGGATTCCAGTGTGTTATCTGTAACACGAAAGGCTGTTGGCATGGAGATTGTGCTAACATCCCCAGACCAGGCTGGATGGCTGTGCTGTATGCTGGGCTGAGGCTTAGTTCAGACCTGCTGTCACTTTAATAGAGGAAATGTAGGAATGTTCAGTTAGGCAGCTGCTTGCCATTGTAACATGCTGGCTCAGTATGTCATATCCGCCTCTAGAGGCCGGTCCACATACAAGATAGGAGCCTACTACTGGTACCAGCTCAAGTGGTATAGGCCTTTGCTTTTGATGCTAAAGGTTTTGAGTTAACCCCTGCTGACAGTCCATGGTGGGGGGTCATTACTGTAATTAACTGCTGGGTTTGATGATCTCTTTCTATTTACTGTGGTGGGAAGTGCTCCCCTCTGGCTTAGCCAAGGCTGCTCAGAGATGATATGTAGGGAAGGAGGATGAGGGAGAGGGTTGAAAACATCACCAAGTCCTGCTTAGTTTGACATGTGGAAAAACAGTAACGGATTATAAACAGGTGGCAATATGACAGGCAGGCATTACACTGCCTCATTTTTAATAATGTTATTGGGTATCTTATACTGCCAGTAAGAACATCAGCTTAATGCTGTGATGTCATTAGAGTAGATTTTTCCTGCAGAAGTCCCACTGCCAATGGGAGGAAGTGCCAGGGGCTCATGTAAAGGGTGGATTGAGATGCAGGATACCCTCAGGCACTGAGGACCCAGCAGTGATATAGACTTGAATGGCAGCAAACCAGTCCCTTGCTACTGAGAAGTAAGAAATCAGTAGGTACCTATGTAGGATGGTCCCAAAGGTAGTTCACACATCTTTGCCATCATAGGACCTTTTAGCTAAGTCAAAATGTTGATTTAGCAACCTCTGTTGATGAGGAGGTGGAGCAGTAAGAACTTCAGGAGAAACATGAGAAAGCTGGGCATCTCCTTGGTCATTATTCCTGTCTCCTCTGCTGTACTAATAGGTCTACTTCGGATTTTGGGGAAGCTTGAGTTGGCTAGATGAAAACACCACCTAACTCAATCTTCCTTCCAGCTTTTTGTGCCCAGGTCAACTTCAGTCTCAGTACAAACAAGAGGCTGCTTGTCTTTGGTGCTGGGAGTTTGGATGCCTCACACTGGAAGTTTCTGACTGGCACAAGAGCTAACCCACTTCTTGGCCCCTGTGCATCCCACTGTCCACATGCGGGGACACATTTAAAAAAAAAAAAAAAAATCTAGTTGTCCCACAATAATGAACAGCCTGTGACCAGACTCTTGAGTTAGGGCGTTAAAAGGACTGCACTCAGACATTAATAACCAGCTTTTTAAAATGGATACAGCCTGGGGGTTCATCCTCTGAATTCTAAGAGCCAAGTCCTCAGCTGGTGCAAATTGATGTTGTTCCCTTGTCTTCAGCAGAGCTATGCTGTCTCACCCCAGCTGAGGATCTGACCCTAAATATCTATTTCTTGAAAAATTCACTGGGCCATCACTGAGAACAAAACAACAGTATCTCTGTGTTTGTGAGCCCTACCAAATCTATTAATGTGTGCTGCCTTTACTGGCACTGCAGCAGCATTTAAGCTTGGACACACTTCCAGAGCTGTGCAGATTTGAAGCAGTGAGTGCAGTGAAACTGACCCTTGCCTTCTCGAGGAGGGAGCTGTTGCTCTGCATTGCCTCTGTTTAGTCAGAGGTCTCCACAAGATCATCTGTAGACTTTCTGCTTGGGTTCTAGGTCTTGATAAACACTAGTTCAATTCAGTCTAACATTCCTGGCTGTGGAATGAGTGCTGGTTCATCTCGAGGACAACTCATTTGTCCCCTTCCCCAGTCATGTGGAAACAGCTAGTGGTGCTTTCACAGGCCAGAAGATGCTGCTGTCTGGAGCAGCTGCTCCCTATGAGGTTTCCCAGGCAGTCATCCATTATTGTTGGGGATGTCATCAAACTCAATCTGTGGAGCCCAAAATGTAAACATCTGCAGGCTTCAAAATTCCCATTCCTGCTCTTTCCTCAGATCTATACTGTAAAACTGTGTTTTCACTTCTCCAGTCTTTGGAGGATACAAAGAAGGACTTGAGTTCCGCATATCCAGCTTATTTTAGGCATTGCATTCACCTGAACGGAGGTTCTATCAGCAATCACTGCAAGGGCACACGTGCCCATTCCAGCAGCAATGACTGAATTAATTCCACAGAGCTAGGAGCTCGTGTCTGTGGGACAGAGCTGTGGTCCTGAAAGTGCCTTTGCTGGGGCAGCCATGGAATACTCACAAATAAACATGTCTGCAGCTCATCATCACTATGTGATGCACCTATCCTCAGACCCGCTAGCAGGAAAACCAGAATCAGTCTGATCTGCAGAGAATTTCTTTTGAAGTCTTAATTGAATGGGTTTGTTTTACTGACATTTCAGAACAAATGAATATGATCCAGCTTTTTATATCCCCTTCTGCCCTCCCTTGTCCCCCCCTCCTCCCCTCCAAAGTCCTGTACTCCTTTCTAGGCTGGTCCATTAATCACTGAGCCCTTTGGATGTGCATCCAGTTTCCAGAAGAGCCTGGACCAGAGTTGAGCTGAGCTGCCATGTCCTGAAGGAACAGAATGCCTGTCAAATGCACGCATGGCAAAGGCCTTGTAGTAGAAAGCTATAATAACTGACTTCTTTAACGGCATCAGTAGAGAGAGTTCAAAGGGTGGGACTCCTGCCAACCTTCCCTCTTGTTTGTGCCTCTGGGAGTCTCATCCAGTGTGTTTCATTGGAGATGAAAGGTGTGCCTGTATTTTCTTCCAAAATGCTCCTATTCATAGCTCTCAAATGTTGGCAGACCTGGTGGCTTCCCTTCCAAGGGTCATGTCCATGTGACTGTTTCTCTGGATGTAATAACCAGCACTGTGTACATGAGCTATGTGCTATGCACCGCTAGAATACCCCTTCTTTTCTCCTCTTATGTCCCTACTGGACCCTGAGCATCCTTCCATGGTGGTTCTGTATCATCATCTGGGGCATCTGGATGGGACTTCCCCCTTCAGAGCAAATGACCCCTCCTTATTGGTCAGGTGTATGTCATGGTGGGGAGGGAGCTGAGGAGTGTTAGAGCATCATAAGGCCCTTTCTCCTTGACGGGGGAAAGATAGATAATGATGCTATCTCCACAGCATGCCCAGCCCCTCTAAACAGCCTTGAAAAGCAAGAAACCAGGACCGAACTGGATCTGTCTCCATGGCAGTAAGACAAGCCGTATGGCTGTCCCTGTGTTACTTTATTTCTGAAATACACTTCATACTCTGTGTTTGGGGGTCAAGGGCTACTGACTGTTGCACATACTATTTTGGAGGGAGCTAAGGGGGGATATTAGTGCTGAAGCCGCTATTGCTATTTTATTTATGTAGACTCCTAAAAGTTAGGCAGGCAGGTTTACCCTGTCATATTAAGGGAGTGATCTAGGCTCTATCCTGGAAAATTTACCCAAAACTGAACAGAAGTTTGGAGATAAAGTGATGATGGGCTTCTTTTGTGACCCAACCTTCTGCATTATGAACCTTACTAATGCTGCTAATATTAATGTATTTTGTTTGTTTTTGTGTATGTCTCTATACATGTATTATTTGACTGCAGGCTCCAATTCTCTTCAGTTGCAGAGCAGCGTGGTATACTAAATGCAGTGTATTAAATGGATGGGATAGAGCTCCCTTGAACTAAAAATCATTTTGTAAAGGAATTCACAGAAAATCAGAGGTAGAATTTGGACTTTAGTTTTGTAATAAATAACTCTTCTTTCAAATGTCTTGTTCTTTTCACTTCTGTATTTTTATTTCCCCCCCTTACACAGATGTAAAGCTGTGGCATGAAGTTTAAATGCCACAGCTCTGTCACAGAATAGGGGCTAGACCAGTTTCAGTGGTGCCCAGGTGTTCTGCAATGCAACCTATGGCCACCCTCAATTTTAATACAGAAGGACTACAAGTCCCAGCAGGCGTTTCTTCACCTCAGTCTAAACGGTGAATATGTGTAAGTACGGTGCCCATGGAAACGAAGAAGAGCCATTTGGATGAAGATGAAGCATTGCTTGCTAACACTGGTAGTCTTCACAGACCATACCTTCATATAAAAGATGAGACCAGTTGTAATATGTATAATATGCTTTATGCCATGCCAATTTGGTGTAGCCTTCAGACTCCTCATTGGTTACCTATGAGTCTCGGCTGGGCAAAGCTCAGGTACATGATCTGTTCTAGCAGGGAGTCAGATATGCCCAATGATTAAACCTTGTTCCTAGTGGGTATTGGTCCACATTACAAAAACCAATACAAAATTCATTATAAATGCAGTCCCGTGCAATGGGACAGGCCCATGTCAGGATCCTGACATGGGCAGTCAGGGCAAAGGGTCAGAATAGGGTCAAACCTGAGGCAGAGCGAAGTGGAGGATTTTGTAGTCAAGTTCCAGGTCAGGGTCGATACCGATGATTGGGAGTGGGTGAGGGTTTGGGTGATGACGTAAGTAAGAATCAAATTGAGGTGAGGTCAAAGCCAGGAGTTCAAAAGCAAAGAGCAGAAATGGTCATAGCAGCTCCTGGAGATCCATGCTGTTGCTTGCTTCCTGGAATGCCGCTTGGGTTTATATAATCAAGAGCCATGAGGCTGCTGCCTGTCAGACCCTTTGAGGCAGGACTTTCCATGGTGTGTCCACAGCGGGTCATGGGTTGTGGAGTGCAGGTTGGTTATATCTGGTGCTGGGTGGCAGCA